GTTGCCATGACATCATTCATTCCCGAAATTTTTTTATCAAAGTATGTCTGATAGGCTTTCACACTTCTTGTTTGTCACGTGTCTGCAATTATATTTTTCTGCAAGGCCAAGTCAAGCTCGTACAGGCTTGAAAACGCACATAATAAATTTCTATTATGCATGATGAGTCATTTCGAACCAAAGCATTACATTCGGGGGTCGATTGTTTTACATGTGAAACAAATGTTTACCATACATTCTTTCTCAAAACAGTCTGTTTTAACATACTAAAAATAGGGAGTCGTCGCCAGAGTAGAATGTAGAAAAAAAGTTAAAAAAAGACTTCGCCTCTAAGTCTAACAGTTTGTGAGTCAACAAAAAGGTTCATATAAAAATTAGTTATGATATGAAAATGTAAATATGTTAAAGGGAAAAGTGATAACAATAAACGATTTCTACGTTGCTTGCCTTAGAGTTTGCAGCTTATAGCGATGATTTTGATTTTACTGCAAGGTTTGCTTGCTGTTTGCAAACCGTTCTTTGATTAATCACAAAAGCCAGCAAGGCAGAAACATCGGTGTTAATGGCGGTGACCGCAACTTGCTGGGAAACATGAAACGGCCTAAGAATACTTTTATCACATGCACCTTCAAGATCCATCTGTATATGCTGCATGGAAATCCGGGAAAAGCTTAGAGGTAGATCATAAGAAATATCTCAGTTGACAAAATTTCTTTTTTGTTTTATCTTTGGGTTTTTCGAGAAAACCCTAAAAAATTAGTACTTAAGTTCCTTAACCTGACTCAAATTTTGTTAAGTATAGGGGCCAAAAACCACCACTTAACGCTCCTTACGTCACTGGTTCAACTACTCTTGCTAGAACGTTGGAGATAATATATCAAGGACCATTCCAAGGTATGCACTTATTTTTTCTCACAAATAAAAGTATCAATTCTTTTTTCTCTGCCGTCACTTACAGAGAAGTTGAAGAAAAAATATCAAATTCTGACACGTCTAAATCTGTAATGTTTGAATAGTTTTTTTAGAAATCTTTATACGTCAAACAGCATATCTCCTTTAGCTAAACTGGTAAACTAATCATTCCTTTGCCGAAGATTCCCCGATAAACTAGAAATAGCAAAAGTAATGAAACTTGTAGCCTGTTAAACCTGTAGCTTACTTGTAAACCCTGTTGGAAGGTGAGAGGATTCCTTCTTTTTTGACTATCTGCAAGGGAAGCTCCTCTTAAAGAAGAATCTTGTATCTAGAATTTCGTTGAATTTTGATATTTATCTAATTTCTTCTAAATCTGTGTTGATGGAAGTCTGTGTAAACTTATAAAGCTGTCTAAATTTAATGTATGGAGCAAAGACTCTGGAACATCAAAATATCGTATTGAAACAAACTGGCAACTTCATTTATGTTACTCAGTTGGTGTTTCCACATTGTCCTCTGCTAGATAGCTGGCTGAACAGCCGTTCATCTAGGGCATACAATGTCCCATTCATGGCTCCAGAATCACAAATTGAGATGATAATGCTCTTGCAAGACAAGTCAGATAAACAATAATCATAGATGCAATGTCCGAAGATGCAACACCAGACCTGCCGTGAGCTAGACATTGAAGAAATAGAAATAAATCATTTTGTTATGATGTCAATATATTGCAACTCTATTGCTCAAGTCTAGTTATATCGTCAAAAGAAGCAAGTAAAGCAGCTTGTTATGACATGGCCACTTGTAGAAATAACATTCTTTGAAACAGTTAAATTATTGCCCACATTAAATATTATGTAGGTGAATACAATGGAATCCTGATACAAGGAAATCTGAAGGGCACTTAGTGTAGGAGATAAGCTGAATGAATGCACAAATCATGATAGCATGAAAATTTTTGAATGGTTTATTGTTCTCAGATCCCTAAAATGATCATCTCTATAGAGGTTTCCATTGGATTCTGGCCTGGAACCGCCGAGAAACCAGTTACAGCATTTGATACGAAACTACCGAATATGCTTGCTGATATCTTGTTTGAGTGTCACTGCTTCCTAGAAAAACTTTGCAGAGGCGGATCTAGGGGGGTGCTATGGGTGCTTGAGCACCGGTCAGAATTTTCGGAGATATAACATTCAATGCATCTCTGAAAAACGTCTTGAATCATTTTAGATCATGTAAATGCATTTTCCAGTAAATTGAGGACATACGGTCATGCGTTAGTTAGCATAACCTGTATCTGCTTTAAACTATAAATAGCTAGAAATTTCATGTTGAGCTGCCCTGGAACCAATTTTTTTACTTGTCCATCAAACCACACTCTCGGCCAATGAGCTACTTCAATTCTACGGGTGCTTGAGCACCCCTATCAATCAACCTCTAAGGTCAAAGTTGCAACTGAGCCAATCACATCACGCTCTGATATGTTTCTCCGCAATGTCGAGCACCCCTATCAATCAAAACAAGGCTTCAACCAATCCGTTTGCCAAATTTCGGCTCATCTGAGCACCCCTATCAATTATTTAATATACACTGGTGCATACCGTCACTGAAACGACTAAACCTGTTCGTGTAGCAGCAATGGCGGACATAAAGTCATTGCTGTTGCAGGTGTTCTCGGTAATTGGTTGCCAGTCGACTGAAAAAATTGAAACGGAAAACGAGCTTTTGAGTATTCAGTCAATTTTGAGAGAAGTTTTTGATAAGAGCGTGGTGGATGGTGGTGTCGTGACTTGTGGGAATACACAGATCGATGAGTTCGCTGAACTGCAAATGCCAAAGGTTCAAGTACTGTCCCGTGGAAGTTCTGACCTTCGGCCTTTCTGGTTGGTAGTTTCTTTTACCAGGCTTTAAATGCAAAACGTATTAACAGAATATTTCTTGGATTAATTCGACAAAATATCGAATTTTACAGAGAAAAATGCGCACCCCCAAAAAAGTGGTGCCAAGGATTTTTGGTTGTTGGGGTGGTATGGTAATTACTACCAGAATGAATTCGATACCCATTTCTTGCCAAATGCAGATGACCCCAAAAACGTACTACTTCAACACAAGGTACTTAGTAAAACAATCAATTTTTATCAACAAATTCTTACAAGTATTGATTTAAAGACATCGAGTCATGGTAAATAGGCCTTCTCTATAGGGGGTCATTTGGATTCGGCGTGATCGCTGCTGTTTCATGTGATACTTGCATCCGTTGTTGACAACTTGCTATTGATGGAAATTGTTTTGTCAATCAGTACGAGGTGAGTTCATGTGACCAGTTCAAGGTCAACCAATAGCATGGATTCATGAAAATCATGACTCAGCGGATTCTGGCACTTAGGGTATACCCAATCCATTTTATCTTGACTCAATGATATTTAACTCAATTTTCGTATAGTAATGGTCAGTTAACGTAGCAATGATTCATTTTGCTTTTTTTGTTTGAAACATTTTAGCTGCCTTTTTACAAAAATGAACCAGCGTCTGAATATTGCAGAGCAATCAAATATTGACTAACGACCTAAAATGTCATTCATTGATTAATGTGATGTACAAACTGCGAAGGTAGCAGTGTTATTTTTAACTAGCATTGCTAGCATATAGGCTTCTAACATAAGAGATAATTTTCTATATAGTTATGCTTTAATACCTGAATTTAAAAAAAGATTAATTTATCAAGATGGGTGTTGCCTTCATTTAACCGTAAATAAAAGTGGGGTGTGGCATTATTATGGCTATTGAAGCAACGCCTTTAAGCACCCCTCAGATTTTCCGCTGGATCCGCCTCTGCTTTATGCCACTGTCACACTATGGAAAGGGCCCATTTTGCTATCTTATGTTAGTATTCATACTTTACACAAAAGCTTTGTAAGCAATTATGAACTATGTGTTATAAATCAAAATGACCACAGCATTACCCACGTCTGGTCATTGTAGAAGAGCCATAGCTCTTGCTCCCCTCCAGGCTCTCTTAAATTGCTCTAAAAAGCAAATTGCTCTCCTTGAAATCAATTTTATCTCTGTTTCTATTCTTATTTGTTTCAAAACAGATCACCTGGACATTACTAGGAGAGCTGCTAACTAATCCCATACTAAAAGTCTTATGGCCAGGCCTGATCAGTTAGTTGTTCATGTAGATACAGTGCTTGCACTATTATTTCACAATATTAACAAATTGCCCCTGACACAACGCCACAACGCCCCTGACATCTGGTACTGGATATAACCCATGTTCTAAAATTCAGAAGTGAGGGTAGTATCCATTTAGAACATGTGGACCGGGTGATTTCGCAGCGAATTCGCAGTCTCGTGGAAATCAAAAGACAATTTCGAAGCGAATTAGCAGCGAATTCGATGCAAAATTCATTGTTTTTATAGGCATAGAAGGTAAAAACTAAAAAACCAATATGTGAATCAAAGTATCAAATCCAAAATAGAAAAATGAGAAAAAAGGAGATAAGGAGTAGTCACTACCACCTGGTTACAGCCTCAAACTCAGATGGGGGGTGGTTGTGTGTGCCCTTGTATGTTTTAAGCAACTAGCTTGTAAGTGGGCAGAAAATGATAAAAAAGCAACTCATCAGCCAGAAACCCACGAGGGACATTTCGGGGCTTTAATTCGGTATGTCCATTTCTCGTAGGCGCCCCTCGCAATCCTGCGTCCAGGATCACGGTTGCAAAGGTCAGGAAATACAAATAAAAAATATATATATATATTATAACGATCAACAAAAAGTAGCAATCGACACAGAGTGCTTACTAAAGTAGGACTGTAGAGTGTATGGAGGCATTTAAATTGAGTGGGTGAAGAGGATAAACATGGTACGGCGTGGCTTTGGGAAAAAAGGGCTGGGTTAAATGGGAAGGGTTAAAAGTATCACCTGTGCATAACAGATTAAAGTTAGAGTTGGCGGGGTTGGGTGTGGCTATGGGAAGGGCGTGCCAAATGGGTTGGGTAGAGGAAGAAAGGGTACCTGATCTGGGAATGGGTTTGTATGTATAGAATGGATGGAGGACAGGGCTGTTGAATGTTTGGAATAAAAGGGGGGGGGGGAATTGGGATGCCTTATCTGTTTCAGGGGCCTCATTTGAGGCCCCAATTAATTAGTGTAAACTTTGTATTTCAACATGTGCATGTTTCCTTGTATCATTAGCAGCGAATTCGATGCAAAATTCATTCGCCTCGTGAAAAGCAGCCTTTAGAAATTTACAAGCAAATTTCCCAAGATTCCTACAAATTTCATACCAGGGATCATCAGCTTCTAGCTACCCCTGGCTACCAATCCAATTGGAAATAAAAACTGAACGTGTTCGCTGCATGTTACAGATTTCATTTTGATTTCAAGTAGGATGGTAGGATAGTTGTCAAAAAAATTACTTGAAACTCTATATTGTACAAGGCCAGGAGGTAAATATTAAAATAACTTGGCTTTTAATTAGCTTTAGAATGTTTATTGTATTCAACAAGGTACTTGAACATGGTATGTTTTCTTGAAAAATGTCTTTTGACAAAAACGATTTTTTTCTGTGAGAGTGGCATTCTGGTCCGTCAAATATACAAGTACGTGATTTTTGGGTGGGTCCAAGGCAAAGTTCTTCTTTGTTACATAAACTTTCTTTATGCAAAGTTTCAGCATTTCACCCCTAATAGCACAAGATTTGTGATTTTTTACACCAGCTCCCCTTACTACTGGGAAAATAAAATTTGCAAGTTTTTCAAAGAAGACACATCTTATTGCTTACAGGAACCAAATAATTCAATAACGATTATTCATAATTTGAATTATTAATAATTCAAAACGATGATAAAGCTTCATAAGTTTCTACATGGGAAGCTTTTTTCACCAGCTACGCTGACCTTCGATAATATATAGGAAAGTGCAAAATAACTTTTATCTCAGTATTCTAATTTTTTCAATGTACTCCTCAAAAGGTATTAGTCTGCTATAAAAGTAAGTGAAAACTAAAATAAGAAATGATAAAACAGAAGCTATCATAACGAACACATATCGTGGTCCAAGATGTTCGTAAAGATACGCCAGTAGCAATGGAGCTATGATCGCTGCAATACACGAACTTCCAGACAGAGCAGCCAGATAAAAGCCCTATCAGAAAAAAAAGTTGTTTTGATCAGTTTTCCAATCTTCTTCTTTTGAATACACTGTTATATATATATATATTTAGATACTCAATAAAAAAGCAACTTGGTTGACGTTTCGCTATAAAATTCTTCAGAATAACTAACACATACATCTAGAGCGTAAAATAAGGAATACGAGACAAAAGAACAAAAGGTAACACATTTTACAAGCAAGAACAATAATAGCTAATTTAACAACATAATGATAGTTTCTTAGCCCAACCGGAGGTGAAAAAAGATGGATAAATACAATAGATAAAAGAACAATAGAACAAGTGCGATAGCAGATGGTATAGCATGCAGAAAAGTCCAATAAAAAGAAACGGTAAATGCTGTCTGTCCCAAAAAAAACATAAGAAACTAGGTAAATAAATATAATAATTATAGAATGCAAAGAAAAGAAAGAAAGTAGATAGAAAACGTGGTTCTGTTCTAGCTTTAGAAATTATTGTTCTTGCTTGTATAATGTGTTACCTTTTGTTCTTTTGTTTCGTATTCCTTATTTTACGCTCTAGATGTATGTGTTAGTTATTCTGAAGAAGTTTACAGCGAAACGTCAACCAAGTTGTTTTTTTATTGAGTATCTATTTATATTTTTAAAGAACTTTAAAGTTAGGAGCTATTAAATATATATATATATGTATATGTGTGTATTAATTAGTAACAGACCCTTAACAATAGATAGGATATACTCTTCACGACCTTTAGCTTTGTATAAATTGGGCAGATGAAATGTTATTCTTTAATTTAAATAAAATCTGTGTCTGCTAGACTTTTTGACAAACTAATTTAATCTGTTTAGAAAATAGTTTTTGAATAAAAAAAGGTTTTGCTAAATATTACCTGCTTTCTTGGACCAACAACTTTTGAATAAAGTCCATTTGTAACTAAATAGGGCAGCGTGAAGCCAATAAAAACCATCAACTCTGCAATTATTATTTGTTCAAGGTGCATTTTAGGTGTATTCTTGCACCACTGGTACTTAGCTGGACAACCTTCCTTCCATATAGTATGGGTTACATTCCCAACTTTGATAACCTCTAAAATTGAGAAGACAGAATTCGGTTATCAGGTTTTCGTGTCGGATACTAACTTAAACTGTACATTTGATGCTATTGTTTGGATTTGTAGAATGTTTGCTTAAAAATGCACCATTAGGAATTGAAATCATATTGGAGCTCACCTATTGTTTGAAGAGTTGGATATGTGTTTCCCCAGGGTAAAAACATGACAAAGCCTATTAATGCAATTGTAAATCCGCCCAAAATTACTTGCCTTTCGCTCATTCTAGATAAAAGAAGAAAGAGGAAGACAGATTTTTAAAACATTTCAGAAGATGTAATACCGAATTTAGTTGGATGATGTATAAAGTCCTTAATTTCATGCGTGATATAGGGAAGTGTAAAGTTATATCACTTTTCTGTTTAATTTGGTTTGCCTAAAATGATATTCAGTTTTTCTAATAATTCAATACCAGAAATCAAATTCTAATTCGATACTTCTATTAACGAAAACATTGAATCTGTTCTTTTTGATCCATAAAATGCAAGAAAGAAACTTTTTTTTATATATATATGTTATTAAAAGAAACTACAATACAATAACCTGAGCCAATCATAGCGGGAAAAGACGCGTGGTCATCTAGTCCCCACTATAAATGGCTCTTACAATTAATTTTTACAATGACCTCTGAATCAACTAACAAAAGAACGCAACATAACACTACACCACGCCTTACCAATCAACACTACGCTACATTGAGGTACAATGAAAAACCAAACCGACCCACAGATCGCCGGACACCAGGCCCCATCCAGGGAGCCCATCAAGCTGAACCCGGATGCAAAAGCCAAGCACCACCCACCAAGCCCCCCAGACGGCACCCAGCCCGCAGCGCCCCGCAAGGCAGCGGCAGCCCAACAGCCAAAATAGGGCATCCACGCTCTACATGGCCCCAAGCCGCACCTCACACTACAAAACAGTACGAACATCTTTTACACTCCCTACTTTCAGATCGTCACCTGAATCACATTACAGTGGAGATAACTAGGGATGGCTGCTATTTATGTGTTTAGTCCAACCGCATAGATCTATCAATGAATGACATAGCTGCTTCTAGGATTATTCTGTTGTCGATTATAGTGAGCTGAGGGTAACCATAGAGAAGCAACTCACACAACGCTTCTGAGTCTATATTTGTGAGATCTAGACCGGGGATTTCAGAGAGTTGACCAAAGAGATCACAACGCATCTCGTAAAACCGATAGCAGTGCAGGATGAAATGTGCATTATCTTCATTGCCCATGCCACACAAGTACAGTGGGCTGAGGCAGTCAAAGTTATGACGGAATCTGTGTTCATTGAGCGCACTAAGTTCCACATGAAGTTTCGTCAAACGCTCGATACCTACGATATCACGAATACCATACAGTTCTTTTCAACGGTCGTATGGTTGACAATAGCTTGCTCTTAAACGCTGCAAGAGATCTGGCATTTTATAATATCATCAGGTAGCAGATTCCATTCAAACAGTGTGTTTTGAAAGTACGTGTTCGTAAAGCGAGCTGTTTTTCCTACAATTTGGCCATAAGATAGGGTATTTCGAAGATTGTAAGATAGCTGGCGCTCACATGGAATTTCAGCAAACAAGTATTCCGGAGAGCGTGTCAATCTTAAATTGTAGAAATGGTACAGTCTCCTTTAACGTGGCCTGCTATAGGGACTCTCCCAACCCAATTCATCGTATAATCGTTGCCTACATGTACCTCTCCAAGTATCCGAACTGCTAGAGCCGCAGAGTACTGGGTCTATTCAAGTTTTTTAGTTACATCTAATTTCATTTCAGGATCGTGCTTGTGATATACAACGTCACCATAGTCGAGATGAGGCCTGATATAAAGCTTGTAGACTTGATAAGGAAGAAATTGGTAAACTTTCACTTGAACATGTATAAAATAACTTTGGTAAAAGAAAGAAATACTAAAGTGTTACCTTTTGGACGTGCACTTGACAAAAGCAAGTGATAAAACTGCAATTGGTCCAAGGAAAGACAACAGGATGCCAGCATTGAAAACTGCTGCTCGTTTTGTCATTGCTAACTCATCTGCCATAAGTGGAGCTGTAAGCCTTAAAGGTCGGACGAGGAATAAAAATTGGCATTTTTGGCTAGGGTCCCAATATTTGCAAAAATAGTGCTGTTATCTCAAAATTGATTAACAGGCGGTGGATCGGAAGCATTTTTTAGAAACTTTAAAATAATTGAAACAGCATATTTGACAATTGTCACAACGTGGTAAAAATGTGCACGTTTGGACTTTCCCTCCTAGCGAAGGAAAAATCTGAATCTTACTTCATTTGGTGGGCAAATAGTTACATTTAATGATTTATGCAAGGTGTATATGCTGTCTAAGACTTCTAAGGGAAAGTATCATGGCTTTACTTTGTTTCCAAAACAATGCAGAATTTCAGGCCAATTAGAGAATCCGTTACTGCGGAAATAAATAAATATTATTTGAAAGGATAATCACACAGCTGTATAATAAAAGATAAAAAGGGATAATAACACAAAAGAAAAGTATAATGCCACGATTGCAAAACAATATTGATGAAGGTTTCTTACGTTTCAATTGCTGAAAATACTGCATAAAGGATGCAATAGGAAACTGAGATCAAAATCAGAGCAAAAGTGTCCGGTTTTGGCAAATTCTCTAGAAAGATGAATAAGAAAAGCAGTCAAATTTTTTATTCATTTTCGACTAAAGAATAAAATCAAAGTAATATGATGTTGAAAATTATTCATATTAAACAGTATTATAAATCTCATTTCAACAGTATATTCGTGTTTTTTCTCTTTAGTAAGAGAGCCATTGTGTCAAAATTCAGAAAACTGAACAATGTTGGTTAAGTAAAGGATTTTAAAATATTATATCTCTCACTAGCCTGTTTTCCTTTCTTTGTCACTGTTCATGTTGTACTCTTTGAGCCAGATCAAAACAGAAATGAAACTGATAATTTGCATAAACATTCCGAGCCATCCAGGAGCATTGAAGGCGTCAAAAATTATGAACGAATGACGATATTCATTTTTAAGAATAATTGCCAGAAAAGCTGAAAGCCCTGAAACAGAAATTTATCGTGATAGAATACAAAAAAATGGCAATTTATACTTGTTTACTACATGTGATAATATATATCTTATATCATAATATATATCAAATAATAATATATAAAGCCTTTTATATCTTGAAAAGAATGCTGAGTCTGTTTATTATTTTTTTCTTGCTTCTTGCTATTATTTCATCCTAATAAAATATTCATATAATGTGATAGCTTTTTTTGTAATGTTAGGCCATCTATCTAAGATCTCGAATGAGGTCGCGTAGAGTAAGACGAAGTCATGAATATTATAACCGTTTTCATTGTTGTAATGTTTTGAATGTTGAGGCGGCCTCAAGAGACTTTGCAGAATTCTTCAATGATTTATTATCATCAGCTGATAACATTACCACTTTTGTAACTTAGGACAATCTATAAAGACCACAATTAAGCATAACGTTTTGTCAAGCTATTGGTCGCATTTTTGAATTTTATATGTATACATTAAGCTTGATATGTAGACATTAAAATTGGACAAATAAGCCAAGAAGAATTTGATTAGAGCATAAAAGTGATTATTTAGTAAACAAAGCTGAAAATCGTCCCATCACAGAATGCTGCCATTTTGAGCTTCCTTTCAAAAAGTTCATTAATCACCATTATTTTGAAATAAAAGTATATACTATTTAAGGGGGATAAAACGATGTCCTCTACATTGTGGATGTTCTCTTCAATTTATCTGCAACATGAGCTTAATAGGCAAGAATACTATATCTTATATCCACTGGCGTAATGATGACCAACAAAGCTGTAATTTTTAATATAAGTAATAATAATTGCTTACGAGCAACAGTTACCTGGGCCAGCTGCATATCCCAGAGAGTAAGATGTGAAAAGGATGGAAAATTGCATCGTTTTCTTCTTAAGTTCGGTTGATTTTTCTAAGACAGTACGACAAACAACCTCTTGACCTAGTAAAAATTAACATCATGTTTGAATAATATTTCTAACAAGATTGATAAGGTTTAACAATTTTCCATTGCTACCGGTGTATAAACAGTATAAACAATTTTGACAAAAATTTTAATAGATTTATGGCATACAGGGACTACTGCTGATCATCAATGAAAGATTTGGTTTGATAATAGAACAGAAGTGCGGTAAAAGAACACACTATAGAGCTTTTGGCTATTCCCTCTGAAAAGCCAAAAGTTAAATAATGAAAATCATTCATTTGGCATTTAATGCCTAGGCACGGATTCTAAGTTACTTGAGAGGAAAGGCAATATTTTGATATACACATGTCTATAAAAAATTGTGTTTCGTACCATTTGCGAAACCATTAAATAACCTTGCCACTATCACCATGATTAGTCCGTTGCTTCCAGGAAATGCTGCTGCAAGAGCATGCAGAAAGAATGCAAAAAAGTCAACAATGATGCATGCCAGTAAAGGCACGCGGACACCGTGAATGTTATGCCATGCAGTAAAAGAAATCCCGCCAATCAGTTTCCCGAGAGGATAGCAACCATTAGCGATGCCAAGATGCCATGGTTTTGCCAGTGGATCAAGCTAAAAAAGAAATTATGAGAAGCATATGTAAACGTACCAATAATATTAAAAGGAATCACGTCAAAGAAAAGAAGTTTTAATGTCGTAGAAGAGGAAACACTGCACATTGTGATTTTCATCTAGGATAGAGAAATGCTGATTAAAATTAATAAGACAAGAAGAAACGTTATTTTCTACCATACCTTTTTCATATAGGGCCAGAGTGATGGCATTGTCATTGTACACGCTGCAAAGAATGGAAAAAGTTCAGTCAGATGATTTTTCTTTCTGGATTTTCATTCTCATTCTTCAAAATCCATAGATAGTTTCAACAATTCCAAAGAAATCAAGGTTTGCAAAATATCACTGCCTAAATTTTATCTATTTTCGCCTCATGATGAAACTGACAGAAAGCTTAAACGTGTTGCAGTGCTTCCTTTTATGCAACTCTAAATGTTAATGCTTAGATAGCTTTAAATATATTGATAGAATGGCACAAAATTCTCTCACCTATTGCACCAAAGAAGGAAATCAAGTAGATGACACGGATTGACCTTTGTCTTAGCTTGCGATCCTTAGGCATTTCAACATCTTCAATGCTAAGCATTTTGCCAATCGTCATGTAAATGTCTAAAGATCATTAAGAAAATCATGCATGATACCCAAGTTAAGAAGCAGATTTTAGGATAGCTTGTAATATATTACAGGTGAAAAATGTTTTGTTAACAATATTTCAAATTAGTGAAATATAAAATATAACCTACTTTTTTGAAAAACATATTTTCTGGATAGAAAAACGCAACATTTGTTTAATTTGCATCGTATGCACAGAAAAACCTAAGTAATATTCTTTGTTGTTACCTGAATTTTCACGAGTTCTAGATCCGTTTTGAGACAAAGCGTATAGACAACTGTAATTTTTGAAAAATTATCGCAGAAACCAAGCGGTAAACAGAAATGGCCTTTGATTTTCGATAGATTTTCGATGGAATTTTATCAGAGTTAATTCCACGAAAGATGTTGTTAAATTCTATTTCACTAGAGGGCTATAACTCGATCCAAGCTTTATGAATGAAATATTCATACAAAAGAGCAGCCACTACCATCTTAGAAACAGTAGATTAATGAAAATCCCAAAAACTCGAACCATCACTCATGGAATCGAAAGCTTGTCCTATTTAGGATGCAAGCTTTGGAACAATCTACCAGAAAACTTGAAAACCTAAATACTTCTTAATACCTTTAAAGTAAAAAGATCAAACAATGAAAGGATAATTGCAGCTGCAGGCTATGTAGAACCTTCGTAGCACAGGTCGGGTTTTTGACATGAATTGTCTAACATGATTATTTTCAACTATTTATCTATTTATATCCTCGGTATATTAAATTATTTCTTTAAATAGCTTTTATATCACAGTATAATATTATAATTTTTATTGCTGTAAATAGTAGGCTTTAATTAGCTTATCGTTTTAGCTACTACTGTAAAGAACACCTACTGTAAATAAATAAATGAATTATTATTATTGTTATTATTATTATTATCAAGCTTTGTTAGACAATGGCTCGAGCTCCCAATAAGTGCTTCACTAAGTAGCCTCGTCATTCCAAAATCGAAGTTTGGCATCAATCTCATTCTTCCATCTACCAAGTTCTTACAATGCCAAACAGTTATCCGCAACTCTTTAAGACTGTCCCCAAACCAAGAGATTCGCTCTTTATGGAAAGACTCTAGCACTGGTACAAACATACAATATGACGTTTATCGCAACACCAAACAAGTTCTCAAATCCATCCAAAGTGAACACGAAAACCGCATTGAAAACGTTCTTACATCTCAAGGATTTATTATCTCGTGCATCTTAAAATTTGCTTCTAAGGGAACTAATCAACTTTGGTCTAGTGTTCAGCAAAAGTTACCAAAAAACATTTACAACTTTACCATCAAATACCTAAACAACACTCTTGCCACTAGGAAAAACCTCTGCAAATGGTCAATTACTCAGTCATCTGCCTGCTCTTTCTGTCTCCAATCAGAATCATTACAGCACATAGTCTCTAGCTGCAAGAATTATCTTGAACATGGTAGGTATACCTGGAGACATGATTCTGTACTTCTATATTTGGCTAAAATCCTTTCAACACCTAGAAACAGCTCACTTTACGCCGACCTGCCTTCATTTCTATCACCTTCTTTAATCACAGGCGACTCCTATCGACCAGATCTTGTCTTCGTAACTGAAGATCGAATCCTTTACATGCTAGAGCTTACGGTTGGGTTCGAAAGCAACATCGACGAAGGCCCTTGCCCTTGGCATTCTGGGAACCTCATCTACTCCTCTCTCTGACATGCTACACCAACTTAATTTTGACTCAAATCAAACTAAATCCATCTTGATGAAACTCATGAACATTTCTATCCGCTGCACCTACTATATCTTCTGTCGTCGAAACAAACCATGGCTAAGGCCCGAACTAATTGATTTTTAAATATTGTATTGCAGATAAGCCAATTATATGATGCCTGTAAAAGCGAGTCGTATAATTGTAAATTTAAAATGTATTCAATGAAAATGAGATGTTTAAAAAAAAAAATTATTATTGTAGCTGATATGTATTATTCTTATTGGTGTCAATTGTCATGTTCAATTTGGTATTTAAGGCCTCATGTGCTCCTTTGATGCCATTGGGTAAAGACAATAAGGAGTTCTGTAATTTGGGCTTCTGCACGAGATTGTGGGTTCCTTGACTCTGATGGATCTATAAAATTGCTTTGAGTCGGGATTATTGTGCCTAATTCGAATGCTGCTTCCACGCTGTTCTCTTCTCCCGTCCCTCCCTCCCTTTTGGTATCAAGAGCAGCGTGTTTCTTTAAATCCTTGTTAATTCTATTATGCTAGTTTGGCCTATTTTAAATTACGCGATTCATTTCAAAGTTCTTGTTATTTTCCTTTAGGAAGGACTAGGCTCTTAATTCGGCCATGTTTTCTCGTCCCCTCCGATATCTTAGGTATTTAAGGTAGGACTGGTGCATCAGCTCCTTGAGGGGTTAAAATGAACTTTTCTTCTCCATTTCCTGCCCAGAACTTTAAGCTACTTGTACTTGAGTCTGTTAAGCTATATCAAAGGATTAGGTTTTTGTATGGATTAGGTGAAGCAACAGTTGCCCAACATTGTGCCGATGCATCAGTTGCCCAACATAACCTCAAGACCTGATTTGATGAGGGATGTGGCAATGTCTTCTAAGAGAGCCTTTTTATTTTAATTGATGGAATTCGTTTGTTCATGTTTTTCTACGAGTAGGAAATTAGCCCCTCACAAAACAATCATGTTGCGTGTCAATCGAAAGGTCGGTTGAAAATATTAGTGGTTTTTCAAGCAAGGAAAATTTCTTTTGGTTTCTCAGTGCGCTCCTGTTGTCTTCATTAAAGTCGTTTTATCCATGACCAACGTAAAAATTAAGAATAAATCCGCACAGCAATAAAAAAAATGAGGTGACAGATTAAGAAAATATTGTACTGAGTAACCACCTACTATCGTCGTTCGTTCTTTTATCACCAGTCGGCATCTTTCCTGGCTTTTTCACCACACCCTAACAGCCCTTCTTCCTACTGTACTCCTAACAATAAACAAGGACAGCATTTTCCTTTTAGTTCGTTGTGCTCCGTTAGCAATGCGGTTGAAATGAAACTTCAATCATTTCGAGAAGATAAAAGGAAACAAAGCATTCGAAGGGCATACAAATTTCGGGAATGGTAAGATTTCCTTGGTAAGGATTCCAGACATGATTAAAACCAACCAGCTAGGTATTCAGAAAGGAAAGCAAAAGTAATCATAAGAAAAGGTACAGATATTACTTTTCAAAAAGAGGAATATTGCCAAATTCAAATTTTAAATTATTGTTGTGAGACATGGTGTTGCAATAAAGCCAAAGACAATGATGTGCTTGCTTTTACTACTCACCTTGCCTCGTTGAGTGGCTTCAGGTAAAAGGAAGTTTTTCACTTTGAATAAAGTTAGAAAATTTGTCATCTCCACAATTAAGCAAGGTTTTGTTACAGGATTATGTCTAACGGCTACAAATTTTGATCTTCGTGAAATTAAAATTGCCCATGTGAACTTGAGGTTGAGAGAATAACAAGGGTCTTAGGTAACCTGCTGCTGCAAATACACGCAAACAGCATAAAACTAGACAAATTTTTAGACAAAATTTTAGACAAATTGCATTTTGCATCGTGTCATCAAGTAGGGCAATAGGCTCTTGTAGCTAGGGTCACGTCCTTGATTACCGCATAGAAACGCCATCCTGGAGAGCAAGCGATGCAGCGGCCTATACGTAAACAATACAATCGCACGTTTTCTTGGAGAATATTCAAAGTTTAATTGCAGTTTTTGAGGAAGCATCGGCCTATTTACCTATTTTGAAATAAAGCATAGTCTTATTCCATATTTTACCAATAGTTAAAAAAATTCAGAACAGCGATAATGTTACTGGAAGTTTGCAAAATTAATAAAATTATAAGTACTAAATAACCACTTACTAGGTATGTTGTTAAATTTCGCCATTTGTTCTCTCGGGTCTCTATTGAAACTCAGTCTCACCACATCGGAACAAGCCTGCTTCTTATAGTTTTATGTACAATAAACTAGGCAAGGCAATTGTTATTTTGTCTTTATTCAACTTTTCTCATTCTTGCGTTTAAGCAATGCGGTTTCTTGCATAGATGGACACTGCATATTAAGTCTTTGATAACCATTATGTCCATTGCTAAACAAGGAAAGTGTACTTTGATAAAACTATATTTATAGTCGTGGCTTCAAAATATTTAGGATTTTGAAAAGGGATTTTGTAGCAAAGGCCATAAAGATAGGAGAGCAGAGCATGCCTAGGGCCAGAAAGAGAGAGAAAGAGAGAGAAAGAGAGAGAAAGAGAGAGAAAGAGAGAGAAAGAGAGAGGAAAAAGAGAGAGAGAGAGAGAGAGAGAGAGAGAGAGAGAGAGAGAGAGAGAGAGAGAGGTGGAGAAAGGGTGGGGAGAGGGTGGAGAGAGGAGGGAGAAATCACCCTAGGCTTCAAAATGTTATTTTAGAGAATGTTTTAAATCAACTTTACAAAATTGTGCGTAAAAATGAGTTTAAACGAATCGCAAAACCTTTTGGCGGCCCTGAATATACCTGATGTACTATAATCCAGAACTAACTGCTTGCAAAATTAGGAGTTATTTTTTAATTGCATAAAGATTAACTATACTTTCCATGGCATTCTGCCAAAAGCAGTAGTTTTCAAATTCATTTTCCTTTGAAGAAGACAATTGAACCGAGTAGAGAAAACAGAAAACAGGAAAGATAAAAAACAGAAACTTTTAAACTTCAGCCATCCATTTATTTTTTTCATAACTGAATAAGTTAAAAATGTGTAGAAACTTTGAAAGACTTGTCAGTATTGCAATTGCAAAACTTATTGTATCACTGCCGAATATGAGATATATTTATTACAAAATCCATAAAAATCACTATAAATTGTTTTTCTATTGCATTTGTGTTAAAATAGTGTTGTTTGCATTTAATAATAAAATTAGAATGGTTGAGTCGATAAAGGTTTCTTAAGGACTCCATCCAGAATACAGCTATTTCATCAAAATTTGCAGCGATAAATTTACTTAAAATTTTGGGTGGTTTTAAGAGAATGAAAAACAAAAGTATTGAGCTCAGAAGCAATCAAAATTTCAACAGTTGTATTGAAACGTTTACATCACATTTCACAGTGGATCATATCTTACCTGGAAATTTTAACTTCTAATGCTAAAGGTACATTATTGATTATATTTTGGCATCTAGTGGATCATGGAATTCTTAGTTTCAGAATTAATGTTGCTCATTGGAGATAAGAAGGGGAGAGCCTTAAAAAAAGTCAAATAAGTGAGAGGTTCTGTGGTAAATGGGGGGGAGTGGGGGCTATTAATGACGTCTGTATTTGTAGGTAGTTATTTTACATATAAAGAACTAAGTATACACATATTTGATAATTAATTGATTGCACTGGTTTACTTAACTCATATTGTAAAGTTGCAGTTTGGTATTTTTTTTAGAGATGCTTTAGTCTCTTTTTGAAGAAGGTAGCCTTGATTTGATACCTTGTATAAATTTTGTAAATATAGCATAATTTTATGAAAAGTTTGGCATAATTCCGAAATTGCGATCTGGTCACACTGATTCCATAATCACCGTTGCATCTTAAATTACATCAAAGTTTGAAGTAAGCTGCATTTGTTTTTGCCAAACCGACCAGATCTACGTTTTTATTTCATTTTTATGTCATTTAACCTAATTCTTGAATAAATCTTTGCTAAATAGCAAAATAGATTGAAAAAAGAATTGATATTATCATTGCGTTGTTATCAGTATGATTGACATGAAAATTTTAAAATCGTCAATTTGGTAGAAGAGAGGAGATAATCTTAGGAAATTTTAATCTTCAGAAATGCATAATTCAAAGAGGGCAAAACAACGAAAGTCAAATGATATTTGTACATATTGGTAGGAGAAATGACACAAGGCGATAGAGAGTCTTGTTTTAAGTTACTTGAATCTTGCATCTTGGCCACCTTGCTTGCAATATTCCAAAGTGAAAGGCTGCAAGTTCCAGTTACATTACTAAAACAATTTTACTAGTTCTATCTGCTTTTTTACCTTTGAAGGTATCCTGAAAGGTTTTTCTGTTGTCAAAAAATATTTGTATGTTGTTAAGAGCTCACAAGGAAGCTGCTTGGGCGTTAAAAGATGCAACTTAAAGATGCATCATGGCCACCTTGCTTGCAACTGATATTTGTCTTTATTCCAAAGTAAAAGGCTATAAGTTTCAGTTACATTACTAAAACAATACTGCTATGTTCTGCCTAATTGTCTGACATTTGATGATAGCCTGAAAATTTTTCTGTTTTATAAAGACTTTTGTATGTTGCTCATATTAAGCCTGGTTTTCATACAGGAAAAAGGCCGCCGACGAGTCAAAGTTTAATGGAAAACACCCACATGGTTGTCGCCAATGTGTCGGCGATGCCCTGCATAAATTGAATCTGTTGCAACTTTTTTCTATCAGCAACGTCGGTGATGACTGAAAATTTTATTGGAGACATTCATCGCCGACACGTCGGCGACACTGTATGAACACAAGACCCACACTAGCCAATCAAAACCATTATCACCATGCTCACTCGTTAGGCAAGGTTTTTTGTCATAAGGTTCCCTCGTAAGATTTATATGGAAACCAGGCTGAAGAGAATCATCGGCGATGCATCGCCAACACATAAAAGGTATTTGGAAGCCAGGGTTTAAGAGCTAACGAGCAAGCTGATTGGGCGTTGAAAGAGGCAACTAGTGATTCTTGAACAGACTCAATAAGAGTAAAACGTAGCAAATATTTCCATTTTTGTTTTTTTTTAATTCAATCATAGATTATTTCAGCTCTTTCAACAGTTGTAATTTTCACCACAGTGAAGCAAGTACGGGAATGTGAGAAAGTTGAAGCCTAGTTATTGAGTCACGTGCTATTTGAGAGTTGGACGAAACGCATGAGATGAAAAGACTGAAGTAAAGAGCAGAAGTAGAGAGAGTAGTTTGTTTGTAAAGATTCGTGAATGGGTTATATTTTCTTTCTTTTTATTATTATTCTTTTTATTAATAATAAAAGTATAGGCCGAAATGGCCCTTAATCTACTACAGCAAAACAAAGCATAGTAAATCTAAATGGGTAATTAAAATTGCTACATCTAAAATATTAATACAAGTGGCTACAAAAATTATAGCATCTTGAATATACAACAGCAAAATGGTCATCACAAGTCAGATAAATATCACGCTTTTTGGAATGCTCGCCTTACTGTTGTCGCAAGAATTTGAATCAAATCATTATCTTCTCGACTCATCAATCAAATAAATTTGTTTTCAAGACTAAGATTTTTTATAAAGGAATACCTCTCTTCAATTTTCATCAACAGTTTATTCCTTTCTTTCGAGTAAAGGGGACAAACCATTACAAAATGAAATTCGTCTTCTAAAGCATAGATGGAAATTTTCACCAATGATACTTTATCAATCAATTTTAGCCTCTGACTTAGTTGAGACTTGCTTGTCATTAAAGCAATCCTACAAAGACGAATAAAATGGGAATTTTGAAAAATACTGGCTCAGGACAAATTGTTAAAGGATTTGTATAATAAAACTAGTACGACACTTTTGATGCTTTTGATGCTTTTTATTTGTGTAAATGAGACTTTTTCTTTTATCAGATACTTTCCATTATCTATTCAATCCTGGCACCTTTTCTCTTTTCCCTGCACAACTGTAAAAATCATTTTGATGGAAAGAGACTCTATATATCTTTCAACAGATTACTTTGCATATGCCGGAAGCAGTTGACCAAGCAACAAAGAGAAAGAGACAGAAAATTTTTATCATGGAGGAAGAGCCTTTAATGAAGACAAATGAAAGGTGCACACAGAGAAAGAATTTTTTAATTTCATTTCGTCATTAGCAACATTTTTCGTGAATGAAAAACCACTATTACTTTGATTTACTATTCGACTGACACTCAGTATGATTGATTTGTGTATGAAAAAAAATGGCCATTGTAGCAAAAAGGTTTTAAGCTTCCTCAAAACGGATTTGTTTCCCATGGTACGCCATGCCAGCCATCTCTGTGGAAATATATTTCACTGGCTTATTAGTTGCATTTTTTAATTATAATGAAGTATTGTCACACTTCATGATAAAAAAATTTAAATATCAAACAATGGTCTGTTTATAAATAAGCAACTCGTTTTCTAAAGCTATAGCTTCGTGACAGCTTTCTGGTTTTTGTTTATATCTAAAGCGCCTGTTAAATAAGGTTGGATTTTTGTTTTATGTTGCAGCAATCATAAAAATGGTCAATCTCATGGTTTTTCCCAATTACGTTGGTTTTATTCATATTTTGGCTAAACAATCTGAAAGAACATTCTCATACCTAATCTATTACATTGCTGTCTCAATATTTGCAAGTTAGTCTTGGTATCGTATCAAGGTTTTCTTGTTCATGTTCAGGGATTTATATGACGATTTCCAAAAGAGCAAACAGTTTAGCAATGAAGATGTTGAGACGCCCGAGGATCGCAAGCTAAGAAAAAGGTCAATGCGTGTCATCTACTTGATTTCCTTTTTTGGTGCAATAGGTGAGAGAATTTAATGCCATTCTTTAAATATTTTTCAAACTGTATAAGCATATGAAGTAAGACTTTCTGTAAAACTGAGCGCTGTGCAATTGTTTCTCTTTTTCAGTTCCATTAGAAACGGGTAATACGATAGAAGTTTAGCAGTGACATGTCACCTGAAAAAAGGTATTGAATTTTGCAAATGTATTAAAAATAACAAGAGCACATTTTGTTCTAGACCAATCAACTGGTTTGTTTACAAAATATCATTAGCCAATCACCGGCCTCCATTTCGAGCTTGATTTTTGAATGTTTCAAACCAAAACACAGTTGCTGTGGAGAAAAACCTACCCCCATACTTTTGCCCGAGAAAAAATTTACGTTCTTTAACCTAGAAGATTTTTCAAACTTAGTTTCTAGAGTATTTGTTTCGTACAAATCTCGGAGCCCTAAGCAGAAACACAAACGGTGTCTAAAATATCTGCACTGAAACATCACCTATTTCCCACCAGAGACCTACCTCCAAAAATGCCCAGCCCCTTATTTACTTTATATGAAGCTTTCGCTAATTAAACAAGGAAACATTCTAAGATTTAAGTTTCCGGATAGTTTGCGCAAGCAAATCACCCAGGTATCGCTTAGGAATAATGTATTTTCTTAAAAAAACTAGGCTTTATAATTGCCTATTCCCTCCTCTACACTACCGCACGGGATGCCTAGGCCCTTTTTGAACATACCTCCTGAGCATCACAGTCAATGAAACTCAAACCACTTTTGTGAAGCCATTAGACATCAGTCTATAGTTTGAAGCCAAAAAGGCCAAAATATTGGCAATACTTTCAATTCAATTTTTGAGAGATATCATCTTTTTAAAAAGTAACAAAGACCCACTTTTCCTGGACAGTCTCAAAGCCTTGAAACCTTACTGATACCTGCTAAAAGGTTTTTAGAACAAGGCATGATAACTTTAGAAATATCTTTGCTAAATCAAATTTGGTTGTTTGAAAACCAATATGATCAAATTGGCCTTGAATTTTGTGGCAAGTGATACATTATCAGCCTTTGGTCGTTTCAAAGCTATTTTCAGCCGAACGTCCTTTCAAGGCATTTGAGGCACGCTACTGCCAATAGCGAAAATTTTGTTAACTCACTCCCCTCGCGAAAGTATCTGGAAAGTTTCGAATTTACAATTTATAGATTTTTGATTGCAAAACTGTTTTCTGAATTTCCTTGAATTTTTCTATAAGTTTCTTTGGCCTTTGAACTATTTATTTGTCTAAAAAAATTATTTTATCCATGTGTAAGTAAATGTTGTGAGGGCTTTTGTCAAGCTGGTAGCTAAGAAAACGAAAATGAATCCCAGTCACCTGAAATTTGACTTCCGTTGATTTGCGTAAGGCAAGTAGCGCAAAGGTTTCTTATTTTAAGAAAAAATATATAACAGATGAAAAGGGCAGAAGTTTTGCAACAGTTTGATGACTTGTTTCATTTTGTAAGGGTTTCTAAAAAAATTGTTATCACTAAATTAAAGAGTCGTTATCATCAGCCTGAATTTGTCTTTGTCCGAAAAGGAAATCGATTGTTGAACTGTCCTGAAACTTTCGTGAGGGGAGTGTTTGCATTCAAGGAGATGAAGTGTGATTTTGACAAAACTGCAGCATTGGTTTTCCGTGCACTGGATTGAACATTGCCGCAATGAATTGATGGACTTGGAAATTTCGAAATATTCGAAAAGATGGGCTTTCGAAAAGATGGACTTGGAGGCTGTCGAAAATTTTTATTTGGATTGAGTTCTCTTGTAACATACACACAATGGTCTCCGTTGAAGTACAAAAAATTTGGACCAAGATGGTTGACCTATTCTTTCATAACGTAAGGAAATGAGCAGTTCATTAATAACACAGAGGGAAATGAGCAGTCTTAGACACCCAAGCATGAAGTTAAGTATCTGTGAGTTTACATAGAAATCTCACAAGGTTGTGCAAAGAAAGGCTTATTTTATTGCAAGTACAGGTACTTGTAGGTACAGTGTACATGGCCCATAAAACAAAGTAATTTTTTACAAGTTTACTCCTTCTTGAGACAAATAGTTTTTGAAAAAAGAGAAATTCAAAGTGTTTTCTTCAGTTGGGATAAATACATGCATGTATAGATGTCACCGACCGATTAGAAAACAAGCATAGCATTTGGTAACATTCTAGCAGTTCTGAAACGTTCTTACAAAGCAGAAATATAATTTAGAACTATGGTCATAAAGCCAAAGAATTCATTTACAGAGGCAAGTCTTGCTAAAGTAAATCGGTACGAGAATAAATTTTAATTCAAGGCCAATTTGATCATATTGGTTCTCAAACAACCAAATTTGATTTAGCAAAGTTATCATGCCTTGTTCTAAAAAACTTTTAGCAGGTATCAGTAAGGTTTCAAGGCTTTGAGACTGTCCAGGAAAAGTGGGTCTTTGTTACTTTTTAAAAAGATGATATCTCTCAAAAATTGAATTGAAAGTATTGCCAATATTTTGGCCTTTTCGGCTTCAAACTATAGACTGATGTCTAATGGCTTCACAAAAGTGGTTTGAGTTTCATTGACTGTGATGCTCAGGAGGAATGTTCAAAAAGGGCCTAGGCATCCCGTGCGGTAGTGTAGAGGAGGGAATAGGCAATTATAAAGCCTAGTTTTTTTAAGAAAATACATTATTCCCAAGTGATACCTGGGTGATTTGCATGCGCAAACTATCCGGAAACTTAAATCTTAGAATGTTTCCTTGTTTAATTAGCGAAAGCTTCATATAAAGTAAATAAGGGGCTGGGCATTTTTGGAGGTAGGTCTCTGGTGGGAAATAGGTGATGTTTCAGTGCAGATATTTTAGACACCGTTTGTGTTTCTGCTTAGGGCTCCGAGATTTGTACGAAAAAAATACTCTAGAAACTAAGTTTGAAAAATCTTCTAGGTTAAAGAACGTAAATTTTTTTCCCGGGCAAAAGTATGGGGGTAGGTTTTTCTCCACAGCAACTGTGTTTTGGTTTGAAACATTCAAAAATCAAGCTCGAAATGGAGGCCGGTGATTGGCTAATGATATTTTGTAAACAAACCAGTTGATTGGTCTAGAACAAAATGTGCTCTTGTTATTTAAAATGTATTCGAGGGAAAAAAAACTAATGCTGAGCGACTTTATGTCATTGCAGCGTATACAATTACAATGCCGTCACTCTGGCCCTATATGAAGAAGGTATGGTTAAAAATCCGATAAAAATTTTTTTTCTTGTCAAATTTTAGATAAGAACATATTTTTCTAAAAGTGAAAGGACATAACATGAAGACTTTTCTCTTTGACATTGGAATTTATTGAATCGAGCACTTCTTTGCAATAAACAAGTAATTTCTAAAAATTGCTTTCTTGATGCTGAATATCTTAAGAATATTTATAAGCGTTCTTGTCAGCCTAAAAGTTCAAGATGATCATGTGCGTATCTAGCAATTTCCTGGATATTTTCTTTGCCACTCTGTCTATGTTAGATGGTTTAAGTCTTTAAAATTTTGGTACGTTTACATAACTTTCTTGTTCACGCCTTCTTTCAGCTTGATCAGTTCGTGAAACCATGGTATCTGGGAATGGCCAATGGCGGCTATAGTCTTGGACAGCTGATTGGTTCGGTTACTTTTTGTGCATGGCACCACACCCATGGAGCCCGCACGCCTCTTCTTGCATGCATTCTGCTCAAATTCTCTGGAGATTGCTTGTATGCTCTTGCAGCAGCATTTACTGGAAGCAATGGATTAACCATGGTCATAGTGGCAAGATTTGTAACTGGTTTGTCTAATGGTGCGGAAATCTTTTTTTTATCTAACATTGAACATATCTTAATCAAAGTAGTGCCTGCCTTTACAAAACTATTTTTATTATAACATAATGTATATGAATTTGTTTCTACCGAGCTTGTGAAGGTAGTTTCTACGTCATGGGATGCTTACCAAACACTATTCTTCCTCCTTTTAACGTGAACAAACCATTGGCTCCATTTGCCTTAAGTAGCAGAGGGCTTTTCAATCACCTTACTCTACCTAAATGTTTGGTTTTGTCTATGAATGGAACAACACAGTTCTGTATTCCGTGACAATAAAGCATTAAGCCATGGTAGCGCCTACGTGGACATCCTGATTTAAATGCTTGACAGTAATCGACTTTTATACTTAAGAGATGGTAATACCAAGAGTTCTGATGTAGTACTGTGTTTTTTGATGACTTTTCTGTTCTATGTTGAAGCAATATTTCGTAAATTGTGCCTTCAGATAAACAGAATTATTCATTGTATTCTGTTCTATAAAACTTTTGCATAGAGCATTTCAAACTTAAAGGTTCCTATATCCTAAAAACTTGTTATACTTATGTCATATTTGCAAGAATGCTATTATAAAGATCGTGCTGCTTTGCTACTAGGTCAAGCGGTTGTTTGTTCCACTGTCTTGGCACAATCATCAACTCTGAAGGAGAAAAAGATTACTTTCGCTTACCTCTCTACATTATACGCTTTAGGACATGCAGCTGGGCCAGGTAACTGTTAGTTTTAGCATATCTTTAACTATGTTTACAATTACAAGTTTGTTGTAAATTTCAAACAGAGTATTTTTAAAATGAAAACACAATACTGTTTATACATTATTGAGATCGCCCGGGTTCCAGATTGATTGATGAGATCAATGAAAGATTTCAGGAATCTATTTGGCGTTTTGTGCGGAACCACCTATACTTCAAGAAATTTCTGCCTTTCTTCCAAAGCTGATAAATACACTTTTGTGAATTTCTAAATAAGAAGTTGAATTCTCGCTAATCTAGGTACTGCAAAATGCATCTTGACGTTGACCAAATCCTCTTTTTCTTCACCGTAGGTCTTATTCTGAATAATCAGAATCGAATACTGAATCCTTCTTTGCCATTCTTTTCTCTAATGTAGGCTCTTGTCTTACTTCTGCTTGTCACTAGGACTTCCGTTTTTTTTACTTTGGCTTTCAATTGTTGCTTCGCCACATCCTTGTACCAAGTCTTCCATTTCACTTACAGCTCCTTTTCACTATCTGCTATGAGCACAATATCATCGGCAAATCAGATTTACCATGGGACGCCATTTCTCCATTTTTCGCTGATCACCTCCAGTACGGTGATGAATTCGAAAGGACTCAGAGCTGTTTCTTGGTGTAAACCTGCATCGATGTTGAATTCTTCCTTTTTTCACTGCTGCTCTAGCTTTGTAATATTTTGTCTTGACTAGTTTGACAAATTTCTCCGATACATTTCTTTTCCTAAAGACGAAAAATCAACTCTCTCGGGATTCGAGAGTAAGCCTTCTTTAGATCCACAAAACAGAAATATAGATCTTTATTCATTTCCCGATTCTTTTCCTGCAGTTGTTTTGCTATGAAAATCAAATCGGCTAATCCCACTTATCCTTGGGTATAAAAGTATAAAACATTTTCTGATATTTTCATAAACTGCCCAAGTAACTTAATTCCTCTGCAATTTCCAAAGTCAATTAGATCACCTTTTTGTTTGTAAATTGAAGTTGTCGAAAAATGGCTAATATTTTCTAAAAGCATGAGTACAAATCACGCTTTTCATGCCAAGCAATACAACATTTTAAAGTTAAATAAATTGAAAACTTAAATGATGATGGCACCTGGAAATATGAGAGTATTCTAAAAACAGGGGTTTTAAAATGACCTAATGATTTTTTTGTGAAATGAATAAACAAAATTACTGCGAGAAATTTTATTGAGTTAGAGTAAGCTTGGCGATACAGTAAGAATTAATGTAATCAGTTTGCATACATTTTTCATCAAAGGTTTAAGCAGATGACCTAAAACCTCAAGAAGAAGATTTAAAATGATATGAAAATTGTCTTTAGAAGGAGTTTTAGGAATGGACAAGAAGACAATAAAGCGACCACTTTGTTGGGGAAAACTGTAGCTCTGTAAAGTAACTATGATCGTTATGTTTCACCACGCTCTTTCGCTAAACTTGTTTATAGCTCACTTCTTTAAAGTGTTACAAAAAAACACTTTAAGCCCTGAAAGTACAATTAAAACAAGTGCAATTAAAAAAAGAATCAAATCACTTAAAGGCATATCTGTACACAAATCTTGAAATGAAAAAATAGTAGTGTATTAAGAAAATAAGCATTACGAGCATTGTATGCTCTTAACATTCAATAACTTCAATTTTTCTGTTTTAGGGCTTTCAGCTTTTTTTGCAATCGTCCTCAAGAATGAATATCGCCATTTGTTTATTATTCTTAACGTTTTCAACGCTCCTGGCTGGCTCGGAATGTTTTTGCAGTTTACTAGTTTCACATCAGTATTGATCTGGCTCAAGGAGTACAACTTAAATAGTAAGAGTGACAAAGAAATAAAGCAAGGTGAGTGGGAGATATAATGACTCAAATTATTATTCTTTGACAAACTATTTAATATTTTCGAGTAAATCATAATGGTTGTCTGACCAAAAACAACTATAAAGATAGCTTTTTTTCAAAATAATTATGAAATTTAAAACATGTTTGCTTGCTATCAGTATTCATTATGGTTGTTCTTCAGCTCTGGACATTTTGAAAAATGAGTTCTTTTTTCATTCATTTTTTTAGGGAATTTGCCAAAGCCGGACATATTTGCTCTGATTTTGGTCGCAGTTTCTTATTTCGTTATCTACGTGGTGTTTTCAGCAGTTGAAACGTAAGGAAGCGTTATCAGTTCCTAAATTTCAACCGACGTGTTATTATATCTTTCTTCTTGTCGAACTTTACTTCTAGGCTTTTCTGCAAATATGGATGTTTAACTATCCTCATAATTTAACTATCCTCAATTTAACTATGTTTAACTATCCTCATTTTTTCGGAACAAAGCAAAGCCTCTTTGTCATATCAAAACCGATAATTGAATAATGATTGTCTTCATTGAAAATGTATCCTCTTAAAAATGTTACAAGGAACAAAATTTGCAAGCATGCAAATTTTCACGGCCAAACAAGCTTTTTCAATGATTCTAAAGTTTTTAAAGAATGCTGCCAATCTACCGTTTGTTTAACAGTTTTAAGATAAGATAAAAATATTTTTAAATCAAACTCCAATCAAGTTTTTTGCCAATATATGGACCCAAGCGGAAAATGTCAATTTTTTATTACTCACTTTACCTCTTAAGGCTAACAGCTCCTCTAATGGCAGATGAACTAGCAATGACAAAACGCGCGGCAGTTTTCAATGCTGGCATGCTGTTATCTTCCCTTGGACCAATTGCAATTTTATCACTTGCTTTTGTCAAGTATTCATCTAAAAGGTAACACTTTATTACTTATTCTATTACCAAGTTTATCTATACATTTACTTGGAAAAAACAACAAAATTTACTTGAAAAAAAATAACCAACCTGTTTTGGATTTTTATCAGTTGAAAAGAAAAATTTGTTGTTTTGACTCATATAGGTGTCAGATGCGCATTAAATTTTTGGAATTGACTTTTCTGAAAAATGGAAAGTAATTTTAACAAACTAACTAAAACTAACAAACAAACAAACTGTAACAAACTAAATAAAACAGAAAAGTACACAAACAGTTTTCATGTTTTTTTCTTTTCACAATATAGGAAATTGGGAAATTGTCACGTTTTCAAAATAAATCCACTATTATGGACTTGAATTAATGGACTGTTTTAAGAAATGTTTTCCAACCCCTGTATTGATCTAGAATGAGTGAAAGGCAAGTAATTTTGGTAGGATGTACAATTGGATTGGTGGGCTTTATCATATTCTTACCCTGGGGATACACATATCCAACTCTTCAAACAACAGGTGAGCTCCAATAAGATTTTCTTATCTAATTATGAATTTTTTCGCGATCATTCTACAAATCCCAGAGCAATGATACCAAACGTACAGTTTATGCTTGTATCTTGCACAAAATCTTATTCATAAATGCTATCTTCTCCATTTTAGAGGTTAGCAAAGTCGGAAATCTGACCCAATTTCGTTTAAAGGAAGGATGTCCAGCAAAGTACCAGTGGTGCAAAAATACTCCAAAAATACACCTTGAGCAGTTAATAATTGCTGAATTGATGGCTTTGATTGGCTACACATTGCCATATCTAGTTATAAATGGACTGTATTCAAAAGTTGTTGGACCAAGGAAACAGGTATTTGTTTTCCCTATTTTTAACAGAAAAGGTCTCTAATGTGGTGCTTTACCTTATACGAAATTTTAGCAGCCACAGAATTCATTGAAGATGACACGCAATCTTTCAAATTCAACTGAAACAAAACTACAAATCATGAAGAGTATTTATTTTCTACTGTTAATCTAAAATAAGTACATTGAAAAGAAAAACACTGGACGAATGATGCAAATAATTTTCTTACAGGGTTATTATCTTGCTGCGCTGTTTATAAGTGGGTGTATTTCAGGGATCACATCACCATTGCTACTGGCGTATATTTACGAACATTTGGGACCCAGATATGTATTCATTACAATAGCTTTCGTGTTATCACTTTTTATTTTAGTCTTCACTTATTTCTATAGCAGACTTGTACCTTTTGAAGAGTATATTAAGAAGAACTAGAATATAGAAAATAAATTTTTTGAGCTTTGCTACAGTTTTATGACTAATAAAATTACTACTTAAAAAAAATTATCAAACCGTTTACCTAAGATCTAGTGTATCTTTTTTTCGTTTTTTATCAATTCAGCAGTTAACGAATGTTAACTACAGAGACAACTTTTGGAAGGGAACCAAGATATTTGAGTAAATGTGAATTTAGCCGTTTACACATGCTTTATCAATGTATTCTGAACAATCAGATTTGATATTAAAGTTTAGTTTTTAAACATCGTCTTCTGAGATAATGATGCAATATTCAATATTAATACCAGTTGACAATTGCTATAAGAACCAGCATTTGAAAACATATACTTAGAGACACCAAATTCTCTTTAGTTTTCTTCTCAGTAATTTCTTGAATTTTTTTATATAATCACACCATTGTGGTGGTAAATATTAATTTTGAAAATCATTTAAGACATTTACAGCAAAATATAAGCAAAAATTGCTCTTCTACTCTAATTTTCAGTATTATATTTTACCTTGAGTTTAATTGTTCTCAGTTATCCCTGTACATAGAACCCATTCTTTGAACGTTTGAGCGTTGAACGTTGAACGTTCTTTGAACGTTTAAAAAAATTCTCACAAATAAAATAAATTGTCACTTTGCCTCCGGGAAGGAACACGAAATGAGAGGAAGAAAGGTGCTAGTGTCCATAGAGAGTTAAGTAACAAAGGACAAAGGGTGTTTTTGTACATTGGTAAAAGAAAATGCGCAAAAAATAATATAGAATCTATCTTTAGACAGTTTATTATGCATTTTGCTTGCAAATGATACATGGTATCAAAGTTTTTTTCAATTTGAAGTGAGTCCATGCAAGTTCAGGCCCCCGTTTACGTTCTTAACAATTTTTTGCTAGGTTCTGTCTACTGTGTTAACATTAGATGACAGCCTGAAAGAATCTTCTGTTGTCGAAAGGATACTGTCTTCTCTTCATGTTAAAAGAGCTCGCGTGGAAAATGCTAGGAACTTTAAAACACAACAAGTGAGTTCCTGAATAGACTTAAATAGGGTGAAAGGTAGCGAAAATCTCCATTCCTGTTTTTAAAATTCAACCATGAATCATATGAGCACATTTAACCGTTGTTATTTTGCCATAGCGAAGCAAGTGTGGAAATTTGATGAGAGATAGAGGATAGTTATTGCGTTAACTGCTATTAGGACAGGGTTTTCCAACTTAATTTCAAGAAGGGACACTTCCAGAATAACGTGGTAACTTGAGGAGAGGGGCACTTATTAGGCTTTCTCCGTGAGCCTCTGTTTTGCTACAGGAGAATTTTAAGTCTCCCAAAGTCTCCCAAAGTCTCCCAAAAGTCTACCAAAAAACTCTGAAGGGAGGTCTGATGAATCCTAAGACAGTTGTAGTGTTTAAATATTATTAATGATGATGACATCATCATATTAAATTTGCACTATACAACAAACATCTCATCCATTGTTTTATTGTTTAAGTTTAGTGAGTAGGAGTTTTAAGAAGATTTATTCTTTGCAAAAGAAAATGCTCAGCTCAGCATCAATAGAGTGTTTGAAAAACCAAGAACAATAATTGTCAATGTCAAGAACATCCAAATTGAAAAGCAGATATTCTGAACAATATTACCTCTTAAACAAAACAGAATTAGCAATATTTTATGTTTATACTTGTAAATATCAGTACAGAATATTCAAGATAAAATGTTTTCAGGCAAACATTTCCTCAATTTAAAAATGTAAATAGGGGGATTTGGATCATTTATTGATATAGAAGATGCCTAAACTTGAAAAGTATACGGTTTATATACACATTTAAATACTTTGCCTACCTTGTCTCTTAGTTAAAGGGCAATGATGCAAAAATTCCACATTGATTCTAGAGACTTTGATATCATTTTTCAGAGGTGTCATAAAGTTCTGATGGAGGGGCTGGCCCTTTTAACATGGGGTAGAAAATCTTCCCCGTCCAATGCATGAATGCTTCAAGGGGGCACTAGCCCCCTAGCTTTTCAGTAGCAGCATCTTGGAAAAAATAAATCACCATGAAAAGGGCACGATTAAGGACAATGTTGATAGTCATGATAAAGGTTATTATATATTCAAATTGTAGCAAGGCTTAGGCCAAACAGAGCAGGGACGAATAAATTATATGTCAACATTCACGTCTTTTATATGCAATTAATGTTAGATTTGTACATAGCTTTTCTTTACAATCAAGTATGCACGAGTAAAAAAATTTGTTTTTGCCACGATTTCACGAATCAAGCTGATGGGCCTAAACTCGCCGTATCAACTTTCTATTTCGACTATTATCATCTACCACAAGAAATCTAAGCAATCTTTGCATTATATCTAACATATCGTGATTGCTCAACAAAAAAAATACAGTCATACGCTCATTTCAATGCTGCTGTGAATACTATTAAGAAACATATGCATACATCCAAAAATATTTTTTCCGAGAAACTTCTTAGGGGCCCCTTCAGGCCCCAAACGTTTCGGGGCCCTTAGTTTTGTGCTTAAAGGTGCACACCGTGCGTTACGCCACTGATTTCCAGTAAATTTAACAGTCATCTTGAACTTAAGAATTTATCAGCATCTTGAACTTTTTTTCGAAGCATCGCTATACACTTCCGCCATTACCACATAGTCAATGTAATGCTACCCGTTTCACGAAGGCTACTGATACACATACTGCCTCAAAGGGGACACTTTTGGATAGGGGGGCCGATTAGCATACTACACCGGCAGATCACCAAAGAGTTCTGCCACATCTTTCCTGGAACTATCTGGAGGCCCACGATGCAATAAGCGGAACAAAACTGGTTGTTACGTTTCTGTTATTATTATTAAGCCATATGTCAATGTACTTGGGCTTTTGCTGATCATGTATGTATCATGTAAGATGGTCATACAAGGCATACATTTATAAATCTGTTGGCCTTCCAGAAGCATTTGACTTTCTATCATCCACTGGAACAAATTGGAACAAACCAAAGTAGCTTTAAAACAACTTAAAAACACTGCTGGAAAATGGATAGAGGTATTTTGTGTATCAATGCTTTATATTAATTGAATGCTTTTGAAATGTCCCCTAGACCCATTAAGGGAACCATACTTTTTCTCATAGCTTGCATTGTGCTTCTTCTTGTTCTTTTTTTTCAACTTCTTGTTAGTGCTTTGTCTCTCCAGGGCATTGGCGATCATGTTTTTCGATCCTGCTTCATCTTTAGACAATGCCAAAATCTCTGAATGTCTTCTTCCAGTTTTAAGTTCCATCTCCAATCTCATAAAATATTTCTGCTTTTTTTCCACTACTTCTCTTACACTAACTATTACATGTCCAAAGAAATCCAGCTATATTATCCTTATAGCTTTCACCAGGCTTGTTTCTATTTCTTTTCTTCCTAAAACCTCTCCATTAACTTTCTGTTACCCTAACCCTAACCCTAACATAAAACCTAACCCTTACCCTAACCTCTTCATTAAGAGATAGAATGATCTCAGCCGTTTTAGCAACAATGATGCCCCATACGCCTACACCAATAAGAGAATGAACAAATATGAGTCAAGATATAAAATATAAAAGAAAAAAAGGAAAGTTTTCTACGACATTGTATTTGATTTCACCAGCTGGCCGTTCAGCCTTATCTACCCAACAAATGAAACAAATGGTAGAGTGGTTATCGTAAAAATGTAGTCTAAGACCCTGTTTACACGAGAGAAAATGGAACGGTTCCAAATGGAACCGTTCCAAAACTAGTACGGATAGGCCTTGCGTTTACACGGGAACTGTTGGAACCGTTCCAGTTTGGATCTGCTATCCGTGCTCTTTTGGCTCCGCTACAGAAACGGTTCCATTTGGAACCGTTCCAAACGGCACGGTTCCAAATGGAACCGTTCCATTTTCTCTCGTGTAAACAGGGTCTAAGAATGTTTAGGCAGGCATGCACCCATAAAGAGAAGCAAAGATGATAATTGAAGACTACCGGCCCGTTTCTATGTTAACTGTTTTGTCAAAAATCATTGAACTTTACCTATAAAGAACAGCCTCTTTATGAAAGAGTAATGGATACAAAAACATCTACAAAACATCTTTCAAGGCATCACAATCCAGTTCTACAAGTTGGGGGAGTGGGCCTTGAACAAGAACACTTAGTAAATTGCTTGCTGCAATGTTGAGCGATAATCTGTCATAGGACTACCATATAGCCAATGTAACATCTTCATTGATCTATACCATGTCCATGCAAGCAAAAATCAATTATCAATTAAGACTTTCAATTTTATTAGCCTGTAGCCTCTCGCAACTCCCTCTACAATCTAAATTACGAAGCTTTTATATCTGTGTAGCATTTTAATGGACATGCGTGATTAAATCCTACTACAGTCATATCCTTCTGAACAAAAAATGGAAATATTTTTTCGTGAGGAAAGAATTCCTTTACCATAAAGGTTGAGACAACAAAGATGACCCAAGTAAAGACGCAGTCAGAAAAAGACCGAGCGGAATAAGGTTTAATCCCTTATTAAGAAGAGGGTCACAATGAAAGGAAGATGTGGGTATGGCAGTGAGCAAACACGTTACATGGACAGAGGCACCTTGCGAGCCCAAGGGTAACGCTAAACTAAGAAATGCCCGGTATGGATTTTATTGCTCACATTTAACATTAAACCTTATGCTACTGTGATTAAAAAATTGCACACTTCTGACCTAGAAACATGCAAGTTTTAGTAGCATTAAGTGGTTATTCCCAAACAAAGTAGGTCATGCCAGGTTTAGAACAACAAGTATTTTACGAACTTCGTAGACACGTGGGGTTATATATATATATATATATATATATATGTATATATATATATATATAATATATATAGGTTATATATATAAACCTATAATATTATAATAATGTGGCATTACCGTGGGGTTATATATATATATATATATATATATATTCAAAAACAACGAGAATCTAATAAACTAATAAAAGCTAACAATCATAAATTTTGCTGTCTCAAGTTTGTATGGTTTGTCGAAGTTCCAGAGTCTTATACGTTTAAAAAGGAGGTCACTGTGTGCATTATACGGAGCAAGGTCAGTTACTCTAAGAGCTTTTCGTAAATTGCGTTTCAGGGGTTCTAAGATTGATTTGCCTATTTACTGATCAGTGTCAGAAGAAAAGCTTTAGCATGTTACAAAATGTTTGGTTTTTCCAAACCAATTTTAACTTTTATACTACCGAAAATTTGTTTTTACCAAAGTTTTCATTTATTTTACATTAATATATTTTTTTACGCGAGGTTATTCCTGCAAGGTTTTAACACCTTTTAAATTAAAGAAAAAATTGCTTACAAGCTAAATCAGCAAATTTGCTTAAAAAAAGATAAAAAAACAGCAAAATTGGAAAATAATTATGAGTACCATGGTAATGTTTTCTCAATGCAACATTCAAATTAAAAATTTTAAATCAAAAACCTGCAATTGTGACCATTATGATCAAAATTCTCTATCGTAATTGCTTTGTTTTGTTTTTCTAACAAAGCTTTTTCCACCCGTTTACAAATTGATTGTGCCCTGTCAAATCAATAGTTCAACGTCTTTTCTTCGGATTGAAAACACGCCACAATCATATCATCAAAAGACAATGTGGCTTAAAAACAGCTTCTCAATTTTTTTTAGATAAAATGACAATGGTAATGCCCACGGATTAGCCCTAATTTTCAAGTACGTTCATTTTAGAAAAATAATAGACATTGTTATGGCAACTTCCCAGCTTCAAAAACGGGGTTTTCAAAGAAGGCTGTGTGCTCTGTGCCTACCCATGAACTCTGCACATGTTTGTGGGACGTATACATTGCCTTGCAAGGTATTAATTCTTTACTTGCAGCTGTATCCGCGGTAAGTATTGTTGAAATATTATTTATTGATATAAAAGAAGTCTATTTCAATAATGTTCGAAATTTTGATCCCATAGCCAGAAAGCGCTCGGGAAATACTTGCAGCTTTTTCCATGCAAAATACCCACAAAAATTAATTAAATATTGTACGAAATGGCTGAGATATGGCCACAAAAGTAGAGGCTCTTTCTCTATCAGACTCAAATCGAGCCTCAAATCTCAAACCTCTATAACTTTTTGAAACGAGTAATCTGTAAGGAAACGACAAAACTTTTACTGGGCATACCTCGGCCGATTTATGACATTTCGCATATTCAGAAATATGTCGTAGTTTTCAATTCTGTCGTAGTAAACTGTAATATGTCAGGTAAAAAACAAATACACAAGTTTGACCAAACTAAATCCATACAGGTTGTCTTTTTCACGTAAGGTAAACCATTATTTTCCTTTTGTTCAATATTATGGTATTGATTGGGATATTTTCTTTTTACTCAAAACTAGACCTGGTGTCGCCCAGGCTTAACTGAAAATCTCAATTTTTATAATGATAAACATTCTTCTAAGCACACCAGTTCTTCTCTTCTGCACGTGAATGCTTCTGTTTAAGTCTGTCTATCCATTTATATGTTTTTCTTGTAAACTTTCAAACACCCTACCCTTTCCCTACTCCCAAACTATTCTATTTTGAGCTTATTAAAAACAAAGGTCAATAAACTTTGTATTACCTCCCAGACTTCCTAACTCCTCCCAGTCTTCCTAACTCCTCCCGTACGGTAACATGATCTTCATAAGTAATTTTTTTCTCAGTTAATGAACATACATGAATTTTTCTACCCAGCAAGCATTGGGGTGCGCATGCTTCAGTGATCCCACAGTTTTAACAACTCTTTACCGTAATATGATTTTTTCTAAATATTCACTAATATTCTGTTTTAATCTTCTGACAGGAAGTATCTTTAGTCAGCATTTGCATCATCACTATCAGTTAAACATACTCTTAATGGAAATCATTTTTTGAAGAAATTATGGTTTTAACACAAGATTATTTTCGGAGATAGAGTTAAAGAAAAGGAAAAGTTATTATCATGGAAACAAAAAAACTTCTTGAGGCTGAGAGGTAGTTTACACTTTTTTAAATATTCGATTTTTTCGCTCACATGATAGAAGCGAACCATTTGAGCTTCGCCACCCTAAGACACAATTACAACCTTTAGAAATTTTAAAAATAATGACAGCTTGTTAAATTTCTGCCTTGGGGAGGGTTGACCCTTTCCCTACCAAGTTATCTATTTATTTAGTTATTACGATCAAATGAAACTCGTGGGTTGTTATGCTTCAACTTTTCTAAATACAATTTATATATTAATAAAAGAACAAAAATTAGAGACAGATGCAAAGATTTGAATGATCGTTTCCTTTAATCCTTTCGCTTATCTGTTAATCAATTGTATATGATTTTTCAAAGCACAATCTTTCATATCTGCTATTTATTCTATTGCAGAGATTCAGAAGAAAGTGACGTAGAAGATTGTGGTCACCACGAATCTGCAAAAGAATACAAAGCTAGATGGAGATCAATTCGTGTCATTTACTTAGCCGTCTTACTCAGTGCAATGGGTAAGTATCATTTGCTTAGCTTAAAAAGAATAAACGATGGAATATTTCCCAAATCTGCATTCAGATGTAAGAGCAAAACCTTGACTCAATTCCTGTTATAAAAAATATAAAATTATTTGGTTCTTTGTAAATACTATCTATTTTTGTTATATGATGATTCAAACAAAAGCAAAATGATGTAGGATCAAATGAAATCTGATCTGATTAAATGAAGCCAATATTCTTTCGAAATTTCTTTTTGCGATAGAGTTGCACAGCTATATGCGTAGATTTGGCAACGTCTAGGTGGAGGTTTAGAAATTTCACTGTGAAAAACTATTCCTTTTACAGCCCACGTTAATTTTCAACATTAAGCCTCTTCTTGGCTTTGCTTTTAAAAAAGGGTTTAGGAAAACATATTTCAAAAATTTAAATCAACTTAAGGATGTTAAACAAACCAGGCCATAAAAACCTGATTACTAAAACAATTTTTCAAAGTATATTTGTCACCATTTTTTCTAGAGTTTTCAATCACCCTGCCGTCATTATGGCCCTATCTGCAGAAGGCAAGATTCTTTTATATTCTTTTAAAGCATATCTTCGAAAAGCAATACTTAGGCAACAGCTAGAACATTGCCATGATTTTCATTAGCAATAAAAGAGCTATGATTTCTACGAGCAGAATAGATGTTTTTTTGGAACTCAAAGCTCAAAATGATTGAAAACAGCAATGCCATTTTCGTTTGTGTCAAAAGCAAACAGTTCTTAAGCAGTAACGGGAAAGTAAAATGGTATACCTAATGCTCGATGCAGTTACAAAGAATATTAACGACAAGGTATATATATAATAGAGGTGTAATATGTTGTATAATAGTCTTTGCAAGGTCAATTATCCTTATAAGCCTTGGCGTGAATATCATTTTTGATATTTCATAAACCAAAGCTGTAATATTAATAGCATTTGTTATTAAGTGAGCTTCTTTTTCCAAACAACCATTTTGCAAATAGGGCCATGAAATGCAACCCGTTTTATGAAGGTTTATTATAAGTGTCTTAATTTTATAGATTGATCCTACGGTCACTCCCCAATTTCTTGCTTGGACAAATGGTGGTTTCAGCTTGTGCCAAGTAGCTGGTTCATTTCTCTTTGGTGCCTGGTGCCAGTACCGACCGGCAATAGAGCCACTGGTAGCATGTGCCCTTATTCGCATTGTTGGAAACTTTCTTTATCTGCTTCCTGAAAAATATAATGGTTTTCATGGGAAAATGTTGATTCTATCTGCAAAGCTTATAATTGGCCTGTCGACAGGTAAATAATATAATTTCCGTGGCTGGCTTTCTTTAACAGCACAAGCTGACAGTCGGGAAGGTCCCTATAGGTTTGAAATTCGTGAGAGACATTAGCAAATACCATGTAACTGTCAAGGAAAATATTTTGCATGCTTTCCATGTTTCGCATGCTGCCCCCCCCCCCAAAAAAAAAAAAAGTTAAATATCGGTCTTTGTTTGGACAGAACAGAAGTATATTCAACGAAAGGACATTAATTTAAAAGTCGATAGATGAAAAAGCAATAGCTTAATTGGTTTCAACTTTTCTTTTTCCTGCGTTTGAGAAATTATTTTTTAAAAGTAAGTATTTTTAACCGCGAAGACAGACTTTGAAACGGAAAAATCTTTGTCACTGACCCGTGGAAATGAGCAATTTTTCAAAAGCCCAAATATCATTGTTTTTTAAACACGTGGGTCGCCTGTGTGCGCTGGGCTTAACGAAACTGCCTGCAACTACTATTGCAAGATGCGAGGGTGTTTCATATTGTCACATGATTAGGATAAAAGTGTTTTCAAGTTCTAGATCAGAACAAAAAACAAAAGTTTTTCTACTGACTTTGGCTATACCAATTTTGATAAATTGATAAGAATGTTAGCCATCTTTAACATTGCAGTACTTATTTCATTTTATATCTCAGGAAGTATAAACTGAGTATACCCTGAAATCCTTTAGCACAGTTTAGAAAGTGTTTTTACATATAATGCAGTCAAAATCTTACAGAGGTAATAATTGTAAATTAGGTATATATATATTTTTAATTTTCTTAGTGATATTATTTCATGTAAAATCAAAAGCATACTTGCAACTTTTTTGTGTCTGGTATAGAAATCATTTAGGTTTACATTTATCTGCTTAGGTGACAAAGCTGTCTGCCGTGCTATCATTCCTCAGTCAACAACAACATCTGAAAGAAGAAATGCTTTCGCTGTCATCACTTTCTTGATGCTTGCTGGTTACGCAATTGGTACAGGTAAAATACCATTTTCATTTTTTCTTTAAAATAAAGCAAAAAACCATTCTAAAGACCTCCTAACCATGACTATGTCTTAGCCGAAAAGTTTCCAAAAAATCGATGTCCACAAGGAAATCAAATTTTCCAATTAAAAGGGAAACTGTATATATTTTGACTTTGATGTCCATGGATCAATCTAGACCAAGATATTAGTTAGATAAGAAAGACTAGATTTTCTTCCTGGAATCCGATTATCCTATTCAAACCATTAAATTTTATGGTAAATGTATATATATTAGCCTTTGCCTTGTGATTTTATAACTACGGTTAAAATAGCTCTGACGAACGCTTAAAGCCAAAACAGAATAAACAAAAACTGCCTTGGCTACTGTGAGATCTCCAGTGTTGGCTTCGGAGATTCTTTGCTCATTTCATTGGGCTGTTTGGCTCAGTGGAATGAGCGTGGGTTTTTGAAGCAGCAAACTGGATTTCGACTCCGACCAAGAGCGGTTCGGAGTCAAAATCTCATTTCAATGGCATGGGAAGCATTAAGGATACTTTAAGTAGGATTATATTTATAACATTTTTCTAAATTTCAGTTGTTTTCGAACAGCTTTGCAGTCTGTTGCAGTCCCTATCATCGGGGAAAAGGGTCATTCTTCGTTATTGAACATCGACATATACAACGTAGCTGGCTGGATTGGAATTATCATCGAGATCTTCATTTTGCTTCTATTTCTGCTTTTTCTGAAAGAATACAACATTGAAATTAACAAGAGTTCCAAAGCAGGTATCCCACCAACATAGATCATCTATCTTCCTATTTTTTACTACTTACTGAATGCATTTTTTAGCAATTGTACAGACAATATTTTAGGGATTTTTTAATGACTGCACAGTTTCAAAAACTATAAACTTAGACATTTCTCTTTCGTTAATTTTTAGGGTATCATTTGTTTCTTCCAAAACAAAGAAAAATGAACCTTATCAAAACACCAACCTATAGGGCACTGATGATTTGTTCTTAGTCTAACTTCGACCCGGAACATGAATAACTAACAAGGATTCTTCTGGAGAAAAGTTATATAGAGAATGTCTTTTCAGTTTACATTAAGTGAAAATAGCAAATTTCTTGGCTGAAGTATAATTTTATCCGCAAAAGCGCCCGGTTTCGGTAACAGTTATTTGCGATTTGTAAGTCAGATAAAACAAGTCATTAGAAAATGTTTCTTTGCTGTTAATCTCCATATTGTTTTGGTACAAAAGGCACTTCCACCAAAAGTGCGTCCACCATAAGGATTGCGTTCCTAACACCAAAAAGTGTTCCGTTATCTATGAGTTTACGTGCAAGTGTGATTCTGGCTAGGTAGGACGCACTTCCCGAAGATTAGAAGATAGAATAAAACAGCATATTTCTTCTATTATTAGAAACGAAACGAAACTCACAAAAAACAGCCACCTCGGTCTTGCCGATCTTAAAGTGCAACTAAAACCTGCGATTCTGCTATAGGGTAACATTTACTGGAAAACCCTGATTGTGCAAAAAACTATAATGGCGACATGTTTTGAGTTATTGGTAAAGCCCGTTCTTCTTTCCATCTAGCAGTTTTGGAATCTATCTACATAAGCACGAAAAAACTGCCATTATGTAAGCAACAGGAATTCGTTTTCACCTTAGGACTCCATTGGTAACATTCTATAAAGGCAAGCGGCACTAATTGGGTAGCCTCAACAGTCATGTGCTCGCGTTTCTGATTTGCCTATTTCGATCAACAACTGGGTATATATATTTCCTAGTGTAGAGTTTTCGATCAATGTTATGACGTAATGTTTCTTTTTTAAAAGCCATTTTTCAGGGTTTCTTAAAAATTATTGTCTTGAAATGGAAATTTTTTTCTGAAATTTGTGATTTTGAAGAAACTTTCCAACGAACTAGTACCTGAGGACATAGCAGCAAATGACCTGGTGTCAAAAAAGCAAACTATGATTATAAAGTATATCAAATGAATATATTATGTTTAGCAAGCAGAATATTTGCTATCCAAATATTTATTTTTTAGGTCAACTTCCAAAACCAGATATGGGTGCTTTGATTGTGACGGTTGCCGCGTGTTCCTTCCTCTTCTATGCCTTTTCCCTCGTTGAAACGTAGGCATTTGATGATATTCCTTTTTTCTCTTCTTAACCAACTCTGTTGAAATATTCAATTAGCACCTGTCTGTAAACTTTCTCCCTTTTGAACATCAATTGTTTTACCTTTTTGTATTTGTCCGTTTCCTGTTTTAACCTTATTGTGATAACTTCACTTTATCAAAAAAACAGAATACTTTCTTAGCTGCCAAAAGGTTCTTTGAAGCTGTTGGTCGGATTTTATTTTGAAATTTTTCTCATACCTAATCAAAAATTTAATATTTCATCATCCAAATAAACTGTGATATTAAAAGGGTCCTGCAAATGACATCTAGTCTCAAAGTAACCAAAAAGGAACAGCAAGCCCAATAAAATGAAAAAGCATGTAACAGTTATTTGACTTCTGAATACTTTTTAACTCCACTACATTGCAAAAAATTTCAATAATTTTCATCATTTTAACAAAGTTTTTTAATTAAACATTTATTTGGTAGTTTTTTCTTTACATGCTCAAGGAAACAATAATTACTGTTTGCCGGTCCATCAATAATGTTCGATGGCTTACAGACAGAGGTGCATTTGGTTTTATTGTACAGAACACCAGATGCTCACATTAAACCTTGCTTAGTGATTGCATTAACCTTGCAACTTAGAATTATCTTGTTCTGTACCATAAAAGCTGATACATAGATAACGCTGGAACATAGATAATGCTATGAATTTTCAGAAATAGGCATCTTACATTCTTAAAGGATTCTTAAAGGCATTCAACAAATCTCAATCATCTACCTCCGATAACTAGAATACTTTCTTAATGCATAAAGTGCTCTTAGCATTGCATTGAAAGCAACTTGATTGCAAAGTTTAGGATTTCAAATGATCTTTTGTACATGGAAATAAAAAATGCTCCATCTGCAAAGCCTATAATGCTTTTTTTCTAGTGATTGTAATTTGTTTTAATTTGTGTAAATAGTTGGTCTTAATTAGTTCAAACTAGAACTATCCTTTATAACAAACTGTAAATAATGCACTTTAAATCACTATTTTGTTCAATTACTCACCTTTAGGGTATCAACACCACTGATGCAAGCAGAGTTTGGCTGGAACAAAGCTCAAGCGGTCTTTTACGCCGGGATGGTTCTGTCCGGATCTGGTATTTTCGCCCTCATTGCACTATTGATTGTTAGATATGCCATGAGAAAGTAAGTGTATGTTGTACTTCAATTGTTTCTGGACACTGTTTCTGCCATTTGATTTGCAATATTAAACATTGCTACTATGAATTATTTCAATAATAAGATGACATCTAATCAGAATTTAAATTTTCCTTTCCATTAGATGGTCAAAGAAAATACCTCTTGATTGTTTTAGAATCAGATGACAGCTTTTAGGGTCCTTTAAAAACATTTTTAAATGCATAGTTTATCACTTACCATCCAAAACGGTTATATCACTAGCTGGGACTGCAAGCTAATAAGATTGTGGATAATGAATGGTTGCTCTTTGTCATTATAATATTATAATGGTGATACGTAAGCCAACATCATATATTTCTTTTGCAATTTGATAAATGCATTGATATTTTCATTTCCTCAAGATGTAAAGGTTTTTCTTCAGGGACAAAGGTTCTTTCTCTGTAAAAATGTATTTACCTGACTGATTCAAAAGCCTTGAATAATCTTATAGCCATCAAGTTTTTTTCTACGTAGATTTCAAGAACGATTGATTCTTCTGCTCGGATTTGTATTGTTGATGCTTTCGTTTTTTATTGCATTGCCCTGGGGAAGTGAAATTCCAATGCTCCAAAGAGAAGGTATGTTTGCAGAGAACATGTTGCAAAGCTGAATATCTATCTTCTGTATCAAATTGCATGTATGATTTAGAGTATCCAAAACATTTGTAATCAATGTAGTTCAGCGCGTTGTACGTCGATTGATAATGTGCAAAAGCTAGTACAATTAGATAATGATATTGTCCACGAATGAAAGATGAGTACGTCGTATCAAGAATAACTTTTTAGGTTGTTGCAAGTAAAAAAACATTTTTACAAGAATTTGAGAATTTATTGAAGTTTTATACAAATCCAGAGTCACAGAGTGTTTGAAAAATGACCAAGTTTTTTTTCAATTTTTTTTTAATAAAGAATCACCAAAGCTACCTCAAGTTGTGTTTTGAACATAGATAACTTCTTCAAAATTTGAGTCATCAATTACCTGATGAAGAGTAATGTTCAAAATTTCGTTCTTATATTTCAATTTTGTATAAAGTCGTTATTTAATTGTATTGATTCTAACTCATTATTCATTGTATTCCTTGCAATACGGTCCCAAGATAGCTTCTTTAGACATAATCAAGTCCTCAAATCATACGGCTTCTGCACTAAGATCCTAAGTATCGGGAAAGACTGTAGAGGAACAGCTGAAATATGACTGAGCCTATCCTTTCAGAAATTAAAGCTTAAAGGTTGTCTCAAGAACACAGTTTAGGGATAGAAGATTTAATTTCCATGTGCTTGAATGCTTTTTTTTCATTTCCAGATGCTATGATTTCTGCCGTTTGCTTTCTGTAAGAGGTAAATGTAACGTAGCAGAGACTTAAAGAAGCCAGTGATGGACTATTTTTATAAAATCTCCCCTTGAATCAGCTTTTATACTGAATGGTTTATTATTAATAATCTCCCGCCTCACCTCGCCTCGATTAAGACCCACTTGAGGCTATATCAACACACCATAGAAAAATCCAAATTCGCACAGTTTTTTAGCTAAAAGTTGAATTTTAGGGCAGCTTTATCTAATTTTGTAAAAGCTACCTTGCCTTAGACCAATATAGAAATTCTTACAGTTGTTTGGCCCTGTGCTACATCGAGGATTTTTTGTACCCAGCAAATAAGCCCCCGTGCCCCCTGATTTTGTTTAAAAAGTCGTCTCTGGCATAATGCATTGCTGCAAATATATAAACACAAACAAAAATGCCTAAATAGCCTGTACTTGATTTGCAGAAGTTTTCCAAGTTGGAAATGCAACAAAGACAGTCTTGTCCTCAGGCTGCTCGATTAAATACAGCTGGTGCAAATCCACACCAAAGATATACCTTTCACAATATCTGGTTGTAAGTTTTGTCTACAACATGGGCATTTGCATTGCAATCTTGGTCGCTGCATCGCTGTACTCTAAAGTTATTGGGCCAAGAAAGCAGGTCTGGCGCCAAATGCTTTTTGCTGTTTTTATACTTGTTCTTGAGGTATTGCATTTTGTAATTATAATGCCAATCAACGAATAAAATTGGCTAATGCTATGTTTTGTCTGCATAATGCTGCAACCAAGAATGCATAATAATCTTAAACTTATAAAACTTCCGTCACAATTTGATTATCGAACGGAGGAGGTTTACTTATTTTAAAACCCACAATATTGTGAACTTAACTGTATTGCAACAAACCCATATTTTAGGCCCTCATATAAAGAATTACTTCCTTACATGTATTCAAAACAATTATAAACTTGTAAGTGAAAATCCTGTTTTTCATTATTGCAGTTGAATTTCAAATACTTGATTATATCAATTCCTTTATTATTTTCTCTCTTAAACAGGGTTTGTTTATGGCCTTTCTATCAGCTTTTGGATCCTTAGCAAGGTTTCTTGGACCAGTGTCAATGGTACCATTATTTTTCAATTATGGCCCTAGATGGCTTTTTGTCACCTTAACACTTATCACCGCAACTTTCGTCGCATTGATCGCTGGTTTCTACAAAAGATTGGTTCCATTAACAGTTTCTTGGGACTCAAAGAGAGAAGAGGATGGTAAAGAATGTAAAGAAAAATAAATTTGTGTTAATAAAACTGTTTTAGCGTACTATTTTTCATTAACAACAGGGTCTTTTAAATTACAATATCGCTTTCAGCATTTCAACATATTTAATTTCTGCAACTATGCTTATGTAGTCAATACTCTGTTTTTGAAACAAACATTTTATCTTTTCATTTTCATTTCATTCTGAAATAATTTCTCTCAATAGACTTTCAGCAATGCTGTTCCAATTAGATTGCTTACTTGAGCTGTTTTAATCGACACTTTGTGTTTGTCGAGCGAATTATGTCTTCATGCATGTGATGTCAAAAAGCAAAGCAACTAGAACAGAGCCCTGAGGGTAAAGATGGTTTACAAGTGCAAATGTGCTTTAGAAATAAAATTTTTCAAAACTTAAGAATCCTTAGAGTGACTAACTTATGCAAAACAAACTACTGTCAGCTAATTAAGATCTTTTCGCCAATAGATTGACGTATTGGCAAGCGCGCATAAGCTCAGATAATATGTAGCATTAAAGGAATAAAAAACTGTTTAGCTTTTCAAAGCTTGTTCGACACTTTTTATAAAGTTGTTTTTTGAAGATTATTTGATTAAATAACATGCAACATAAGAGCTTCCCTAAGCTATACAATTTTAATTAAGAAACTTACACGTGTCCTTGAGAAAAAAATATTTTTCAACGGCACTCATAAGTTGAATAAATCCACTGTTATTGAATAGAACGAAATGTTTTAGTTATCAATCCTATTTTTCTTTGAAAAACTTTATTCATAATTATAATAGACAAAAACTAAATCAAGATTTGCTTATCCCTTACTTGTTAAGGAGGAAGACACGAACACGAAGACGAATTAATTTTTTCTGAATGCACTAAATAATTGGCATTTCGATCGATAGATCCTTTATACAGTATAGGTTTTCCATAAAACGGAAAATAAATTTCGTTCGATGTAAATGTAATTACAGAAGAAATATACCTGGTAGACTCTATCTTTTTCCTGGACCATCTATTTGTTAAAGCCAAAAATAACTGTTTACTTTGTATCGGTCAGCAACCCTTTTTCGGTAAATTATCATTATCGCTTACAAAACTTGCAAATCAGGAGCTCCTTAGGTATCAGTAGAACTGAAAAGATTAATAGCTCTTTGTTTCCTAACCTTGGAGTAACGAAGTTTCTGAAACAGGAGTTATGCAAGGTCTGGGCAGATTTAGGACAATAGTTACAGAAAAGCTTCAAAATTCGATCCGCGCTTGCAAATTTTTTTCTTTCTCCTCAAGTTGAACTACCATGGCCAACACAGTCTCCTTCTCAAATATGCCATCTGTTGTCATATATCTTTTTCCTACGTTTATGCCGGCAATCTGTCATATTTGTTATCCGTACAAACTAGACTTCCAATGCACCTACGGAGTAACGGAGGAGAGTGTGTAGCCTAATTTGGTAAAATGGCGGACCACGAGCTTGCTAGCTTCGATGGATCGGAGGCGGTTCCTCAAATCGTTTCTCCAACTGCTTCTTCTTCAGGTATAATTATGGCTTATTCTTCTGCTGCTGTTTCGTTTTCTATATGAATTTCTGCTCTTTATTGATTTTATTCTGTTTTTAACCATCGTTGATCTTCTAGATGTTGCAAAACAGAATCCTTCACGAATATGCCAGAAGATGTCATATATATATCTTCCACTTCCCCATTTTTCGATAGCTTTCACGTTTGTCTAATTTTTCTTTTTCAGAAATAAAAAGCCACCCCCAGAAGGTAGGCTGGTTTTTCATACTCACCAGTATGCCCTGAAGATTTGAGTATCCTTAATATAATAACTTACTCATAGAGTCCTCAGTTTTTTGCCTGTTTGCGCTACCAATAAATTGTGGCTCCAAAGGCTACCTGTTCGAATTTTTTTCAAAGCTTCGTGGCTGGATTCTTTTTAGTCTGTTATTACATTATTATTGTCTAAGTTAAAGGAATTTATTCTTATAAAAAGAGTGCATCTTGGCACTGTGTTTAATGGTTTTTGGTCAGTGTGTATTTTACTCCAGAGGATAAAATTGTAGAACCTTCTGGTATTTGAAAACATATAACCAATAATTTGTTATTCAGGTTTGTCAAAAATGTGGTGAAAAGTACCATATTGCGACCCGTGTGTGCAAAGTTTGTGGTGAAAGTATTGTTGTGCAGAAACAATATAAAGTGCCAGCATCGGCAAAGCCAAAGAAGATTTGCAGAGAAAAATTTAGTCTTCAACAGAAAGTAAGCATCTTATGATTTTTGTTTTTTTTTTATTTTTGATTTATGAAGACAATAACTATGGAATAGCCCACTCTTTCAAATGCAAAATGTAAGCAATTGTTTTGTGATCAACTTATGTTGCTGGTTCTGTTTTCCTCTTGCCATTTTATGATGAATTATATGATTTCCAAAATTTTGTATTGTCTTGGGTTATCATACAATGACCTTTCCTACTTTCACCTAACTTTGCCTAATTTTTGCATATCATTTGTTTACAATGAATTGAATAAAATTAGGTTGCTTTTCCTGAAAAATTCTAGAAATGGAAAACTATTTTCAAGAAATGGGTTTTCTTTTAGCTGTTTTTTAGAAATCATGTTTTAAGGAATAGAGTGCACATATTTCATGCCCTCTGTATTGTTAAAATTGCTGTAGGTCCAGATAATGATCTTTCTGCATGATGATCATTATCATTTTTTGTGTTAAATCAGTGAAAGTTTGGTTTTAATCTCATGCAATGTTTGGAAAAAATTGCAATCATACAACTTAGGATTCAGAGGAATCATCATAAGATTCAGACATTTTACTTTCATTGTTAAAAGATGCCATTTTCCTATGAAAATAATTGAATTGATAAGAGCTAGATATGAAATTTTATCTGTTACAGTGACATGCACAAAAGTCAAAGTATTTTTTAAATGCATTTATGATTTTGAATTTTTATTATTCAGAAACGCTTACCTTTCCTCATTAGGCCATGAATCTCCATTACTCGAATGGTTATGAGGTTGTTGTGCTTTATGCAAAACGCCACAAAAATGGTGCATTGGGAATTTCCACTTTTGGCACCCCAGGCGTGATGCCCTTCATTGGTACAGGGCGATTCTCAGGCAGGCCAGAAGGGGGCAGACTTTGCTGTCAGCTTTTTGAACGGTTTTTAAGAGGCTAGTGCTCTTTATCTACTACACAAATTCAATTCAGTATACAAATACAAGGGACAATTTTGTATGTAGGGTATTACTTAAAGGAGAAGCTCTCTCTATAGGTAGACAAATTAAGGGAGGTTTTCCTTTATCTTGAGATGTTTTCAGATAAGTTTATTTGAGTATAAATTATTGTGCATTTCAGTGTCAAAAAATAATTAGATTAATCGGTCAATCTTGAACAATGATTTAGATGGAGCATTTTTTACTTCAACAGGCAATATATTCCAATACTTAGAACCAAGGTAACAATTTGGCTTCAAACCGTATTGAAGATGGGTTTTTTAGTTATGTATAGATTACCTTGACTGGCATGTCTTGTTGAATAATGAACAGATGAACTGAACCCTATGCAAAGTACTAAACATAGAATTGCCTAGAATACAAAAAAATTAACAAAATTTGCTTTTGTGGTGTTATTTAGATGTGAAGATTCTTTATGCCAGCTTTCATTAGTTTTGCTTCAAGCTAATTTTTTTGTAAGTTTTTCAACATTAAACTTGGATTGAAATTTCTAGATCTAGCTCATGCCTCACTGTATTTTATTTTCTCAATTTCTGATAACTGATTATGGTAATATGATTGGTTTGAACTCTAGCAATTGGTTTTGGTAGGTTTTTGGCCTAATGAAACACAAATGCATAATTTTTTGCTTTAAAATGTTGTAGATTCCCAGATGCCAGAGTCCCAAAGAAATGGTTTGTTTTAAACTATATTCAATTTCCCTATGATCAAATTTAATTTAAAATGAATTAAAGGGCAACTTATCAATTTTCCTAAGCATGTTTGTTGTTTGCTTTGTTTGGCTTTTGATATGCACCTCATCATACACCAATCTTTCTCCAGATTTACAACTTGCTTTTATTTTCAGAAATTGATGATGTTGCAAGGGAGGGTGAGAAACTCAATATTTGCTACTGCTTTGTTATATTGGCGATGCTTCAATAACTTAAATATCCTTTTGAAAATTCACTTTGGTTGATTACAATTGATTTACAACTATCCATTGCTTTTATTTTCAGAAATTGATGATGTTGCAAGGGAGGGTGAGAAACTCAATATCTGCTACTTCTTTGTTATATTGGCAATGCTTCAATAACTTAAATATCCTTTTGAAAATTCACTTTGGTTGATTACAATTGATTTACAACTATCCATTGCTTTTATTTTCAGAAATTGATGATGTTGCAAGGGAGGGTGAGAAACTCAATATTTGCTACTGCTTTGTTATATTGGCGATGTTTCAATAACTTAAATATCCTTTTGAAAATTCACTTTGGTTGATTACAATTGATTTACAACTATCCATTGCTTTTTTTCAGAAATTGATGATGTTGCAAGGGAGGGTGAGAAACTCAATATTTGCTACTGCTTTGTTATATTGGTGATGCTTCAATAACTTAAATATCCTTTTGAAAATTCACTTTGGTTGATTACAATTGATTTACAACTATCCATTGCTTTTTTTCAGAAATTGATGATGTTGCAAGGGAGGGTGAGAAACTCAATATTTGCTACTGCTTTGTTATATTGGCGATGTTTCAATAACTTAAATATCCTTTTGAAAATTCACTTTGGTTGATTACAATTGATTTACAACTATCCATTGCTTTTTTTCAGAAATTGATGATGTTGCAAGGGAGGGTGAGAAACTCAATATTTGCTACTGCTTTGTTATATTGGTGATGCTTCAATAACTTAAATATCCTTTTGAAAATTCACTTTGGTTGATTACAATTGATTTACAACTATCCATTGCTTTTATTTCAGAAATTGATGATGTTGCAAGGGAGGGTGAGAAACTCAATATTTGCTACTGCTTTGTTATATTGGTGATGCTTCAATAACTTAAATATCCTTTTGAAAATTCACTTCGGTTGATTACAATTGATTTACAACTATCCATTGCTTTTATTTTCAGAAATTGATGATGTTGCAAGGGAGGGTGAGAAACTCAATATTTGCTACTTCTTTGTTATGTTGGCGATGCTTCAATAACTTAAATATCCTTTTGAAAATTCACTTTGGTTGATTACAATTGATTTACAACTATCCATTGCTTTTATTTTCAGAAATTGATGATGTTGCAAGGGAGGGTGAGAAACTCAATATTTGCTACTGCTTTGTTATATTGGCGATGCTTCAATAACTTAAATATCCTTTTGAAAATTCACTTTGGTTGATTACAATTGATTTACAACTATCCATTGCTTTTATTTCAGAAATTGATGATGTTGCAAGGGAGGGTGAGAAACTCAATATTTGCTACTGCTTTGTTATATTGGCGATGCTTCAATAACTTAAATATCCTTTTGAAAATTCACTTTGGTTGATTACAATGATTTACAACTATCCATTGCTTTTATTTTCAGAAATTGATGATGTTGCAAGGGAGGGTGAGAAACTCAATATTTGCTACTTCTTTGTTATGTTGGCGATGCTTCAATAACTTAAATATCCTTTTGAAAATTCACTTTGGTTGATTACAATTGATTTACAACTATCCATTGCTTTTATTTTCAGAAATTGATGATGTTGCAAGGGAGGGTGAGAAACTCAATATTTGCTACTGCTTTGTTATATTGGTGATGCTTCAATAACTTAAATATCCTTTTGAAAATTCACTTCGGTTGATTACAATTGATTTACAACTATCCATTGCTTTTATTTTCAGAAATTGATGATGTTGCAAGGGAGGGTGAGAAACTCAATATTTGCTACTTCTTTGTTATGTTGGCGATGCTTCAATAACTTAAATATCCTTTTGAAAATTCACTTTGGTTGATTACAATTGATTTACAACTATCCATTGCTTTTATTTTCAGAAATTGATGATGTTGCAAGGGAGGGTGAGAAACTCAATATTTGCTACTGCTTTGTTATATTGGCGATGCTTCAATAACTTAAATATCCTTTTGAAAATTCACTTCGGTTGATTACAATTGATTTACAACTATCCATTGCTTTTATTTTCAGAAATTGATGATGTTGCAAGGGAGGGTGAGAAACTCAATATTTGCTACTTCTTTGTTATGTTGGCGATGCTTCAATAACTTAAATATCCTTTTGAAAATTCACTTTGGTTGATTACAATTGATTTACAACTATCCATTGCTTTTATTTCAGAAATTGATGATGTTGCAAGGGAGGGTGAGAAACTCAATATTTGCTACTGCTTTGTTATATTGGTGATGCTTCAATAACTTAAATATCCTTTTGAAAATTCACTTTGGTTGATTACAATTTATTTACAACTGTTCATTGTTTTCTGTTTTGTTTAAACTTGAAGCCTTTTTGAAGAATATATTTGAGTGATAATCGATGTTATTTTTCAGTTAAAGATCTTCCTTTAGTCAGACGTGGAAAAAGTAAGTGCATCTTGAAGTACCCCTTTTGAATATGTGTTTAATGTTTGTTCTTTTATTTCATAATGTAAATTGGTTCGGAAATTTGGGCATGTTTGCTGATTTGCATTTGTTCTACTAATTTATTTGTAAATGGCTTTGAAAAAAGCAAACATTTTACAACATACTAAAAGCTTTTTCGTCTGACATTCCTCAGAGCGTAAGAATAAGGTTCCGAAAGAACACGATGGAAAATATATACCCAGTTGTGGATCGAAATAGGCCAATCAGAAAACGCAAGCACAAGACCGGTATAGTTGACCAATTAGTGCCGCGAGCCTAAAGAAAAATTACCAATGGAGTCCAAGAGACAAAACAAACTCCTTCTGTCTACACAATGGCGGCTTTTTCGTTTTTATGTAGATCGACTCCAAAACTGCTAGATGGAAGGACGACTGGGCTCTGCCAATTATCGTAAAATGTCGTAAAATGTTTGCTTTTTTCAAAGCCATTTTCAAATTCTGTACCGCAAAAAGATAATTTAGTTGTGTTAAACCTCAAAATTTCAATACCTTTTTTCTATTTGTATTTCTCCACAACAGAACGGAAGAATAGAGGAAGCAGAGGTAAATGTCTTATTTTTTTATATGCTTTTTAAAATTGTTGTTCCCACGACTTAATCTGGATGCAACATTAAAATTAGGACTTGGATTCGCATTTATTTATTTCTTGCATCAACCTAGTATTTAATTGCATTTTTTCTTTCAGCAACAAAGAAGGCCAAATTTTGGAAAGTGGAGAGAGTGGAAAGAATAAGAAAAGAAGCAAATGGGAAGCTTTTATTTTTTATTAAATGGCTGGACTGGGAGCCGAGCTCAAATTCTTGGGAGCCAGAAGAGCATCTTTTGCCTGCTTTGGTACAAGATGCTCTTGCATGTATTCCAGTCGAAAGTCAATAGTTATTTAGTTTGAAGTTTAGCTTAGAAAAAGTTTAGCTTATTGATACACTAAAAAGTCTATGATTATTTTTTGAAGTTTGCATAACTACAGCACTAAATGGTCTTATCAAAACTTGGGATTGACTTGGAAAGACTAATAATAGACAATAAAGTAATATATTGGCCATATAATACACAGAAACGTATCAAAATTTTTTATAAATAACTTTACTAAGAAGCATATAGCGTCAGCATAAGAATGTTTAACTTTATTTACATGTTGTAAAATTTGAAGGTCGATTTCCTTCATTGTATTAGGGGCATGTCGCGCTCCATTCATATGCGATACCCCTACCTTTAGAAAACGAATTGGAGACAAATGCGTGCCTTTGATGCACGTTTGATAGTATATTATAGATTGAAAATGTTTCTTAGCATTTTTACAAAATAATTTTTATCGATTTGGGAAATTCCTTCAAACTGTTTTTTTGTATATTTCTGCCGTTTTTCCTACATTAATGACATGCTTCATCTTTACAAATGGTTTCTCCTGTGATAAGGAAAATTGTTAGAGAATAGAGGGAGGGGTTGGGATTTGAACTGCATGCAGACGTATCGAGGTCCCATTTTATAGCAATGTTTTCCAAAAAATTTTACCAAAGAAAAGACATCTGCTGGTTAGATTTTTACGCTTATTTAAACTATTGTTTTTTCAGGACTTTGTTAATATTCACTTTGATTAACAATAAACGACAAGAAGTGAGCGTTTTCAAGGCTCTACCAAATCGCTACAAAATTCTACCAAATAATATTTGCATGAATTCAAAAAGGATTGTTTACAGAACAGATTTTAAATAAGCCATATATTTTGGTCTCATCTTAAAAGGATGATATTTTACCTTGTATAAAGCCTTCAAAGCTTTTCTGGATGAAAATGTTGCAATAACCAACAGGAATAAATATTCAATGATTTTTTTTGGGCTTTTAAGCAACCTGGGGCGCCTACACAGGGGGGCTGGAGGGTCAGCTGCCCCTCCTGCCCTCTTCGAAAAAGGGCAGAGGGGACAAGAAGTGTCATGAAATATAAGAAAATTCTATAAAATCTTATCGATAATTGATGACCACTTGGACTACTCTCGTTAGAAAATATTAGAAAGATGATAACACCAGCACGAAAATGCAGAGAATGAAAAGTTTGTCTGTGACAAGGTCGGCCAGAAGAGGGAGAGCGGCAAAGATAATAGTATATTAACAAAAGACGTATTCCATCAGAAGTACTCCAGGAACCTTAGGAGGATAAATCGGAATTAAAACTTAGCGGGCAATCAAAATTTTACAACCAGCCCATTTATAACAGCCATGATTTTTATAAAACCAAATATTGTGATTAGTGACAAGGCCATTTAATAGCCATTTTTATTTATGGGTAATTTCGTCAAAACTTTCTCTCTATGTTTAGAATCTTTGATGGTAAAAAATCCATATTCAAGTTGATATTTATTAAAGGGCCTCTCCGGCCAAAAAAAAAATTTTTTCTATTGACTAAAAAGTTAGTATCTGGTGCGTGTATTATAGCAAAGTTGTTGTTTTTGCACAGTTTCAATTAGTTTAGAAATTATAAGGCTTTAAAATTGCACCTTTACGAGAAAAAAACGACAAACGCCGAATCAGTTTTGTGACATTCTGACGTCACAGTGTGCGGCTCTCGTTCGTCATGAATTTCGTATATCTTCCACCGAATCGTGAAGGAGTCATGGTCACGCGTTGATAACTGCATCTAAATCTACAGCAGGTGCTTTTTAGGATCGAAAAATATTCAATGTTTACAATTATTCTAAGTTTGCGGGTCGGAATGTGTCCATGCTGTGTCACGACTTTGTTTTGATCACCTGTGTAGGCCCACAAAGCTACGGCTTCCTGTTCCAGCTCTTCCCTCGCGTATAATTAATCGAAATTGACACTTCAAGTTGTTTTCCAGAAACGATGAACAACTAAAGGCTTCAGAATTGATATCTGAAACGCTCAAACTAAAAGCCGGTGGAACAGAACTGAGTGTACCAACAATTGCAGTGTTCAATTTGCGAATCGCCGACGTTCGATACGGTTTGAGGCGAGACTAACGAAATACACTGTGACGTCAAAATTGCGTCACAGTGTCACCAAACCGAAAAATTTTTGTCGGTTAATTCAATTCAATTATCGAAATGCAAGAGCTTATATCTCACAAACTGTGAAAAATATCGAAAAACAAATAACGAATTCGTGATCAGCAGGTTCAACTCCTTTAGATTAGTCAATAAAATGCAATTGCAAATTTTGGCTGGAGAGGCCCTTTAAGTTACCCCACCCTCGCCCCCTCCCACCTAGAAATGCTCGATTATGTTAGAAGAAAGTTCCACGATTTGCCCTCGGCACCAACACTGCCCCTCCTGCCTTGATTTTGTGCAGGCGTCCCTGCTAGCAACCATATATTCTGCTTGCGGCTGTGAAATTATGTTGAATCAACTTTGTAAGCAATTTTTTATTTTTCTCTGGCCTTGCCCAAATAGAAGTTTGAACAGCTTCTAAGGAAACGCCGATTGTGCCCATCTACAATGGAAATAAAACGTCTGCGGTGGGCTTTAAGGTTTTCTATTTGATGAAAGTTTCAAATGTTAACAAAGCTTCTTAATATCCCTGACAATCTCCACTTAACTCTTTTCGCATCATTGGTTGGATTGAAATTTTCTGCTTTGGGAACAGACAGTGGATAGATGGACGCATATTCTATTTCATACAGTTTCAAATTGAATCTTTCCCAAGCGAAAGTTTTCTTGGGGATAGTAGCTAGATAAACTTGTATTTTGACTTGTTGATTCTTATCTTGAAAAAAATTCTTTATTGCCATTTACCAACAATACCATAAGTTGCTAAACCCCCTCTCGAAAATTACTCAATGGGGGCTGGAACCCCCAAGCTACTGCTTAGTTGGTGGCTGTGGTCAAAAGTGAATAAATGATTTTCAAACAATTGACAAAATATGTTTTATATATTAAAGTACAAACGTTTGATCAAAAAGTTACAAAATTAGCTATTTTTCATTATCCTTTCATTTATTTAGTTCTTTATTAACAGCTTCTTCCGCCAGTAAAAGATGTCACTCTCAAATGAAGGTTTGGAAGCGTTAACATTTATGAGCAATATAGTTTCAAAACCTAGAACCTCTCGAAATTTATAATAAAACTATTATTGAGGTTTTCCACCATGATATCTGATGCCACAACCTTATAATCAGTGAAAAAGTGGGGAGAAACGATCTCCACACCCCCCTGCTCCAGCGTGCCTGCCCACCTACGCTAAAAAATCTTGGCTTTTTTGTTAAGACCTGTTCTTATTATCCTTGTGCACTTGGAGTAGTTCACCCAAAGTATGTTAATTTTTCCCCTACCATTAAGTATGTTTAAAAACCTACTATGGATGGTCTCAAACTTAAACATGTAAATAACAAGGGGGCTTGACGCCCCCCAAAGGTTGGAAAATCCAATAGACTCCCAAAGTCATGACGTCATAAAAATCTATTTTTAGAATTTTTGAATTTGGATCCCATAGCCTCAAAGAGAATCATGAAATACCGCTAAATGTGCAAAGGCAGTCAAATGTGCTACGATTTGGCTGAGATATGGCCACGTGTATTTGCTATTTCCCCCATCAAATTTTGGTTCATAACTTTATGAACAGAGCCAAAATAACAGTGATTCGTTAGCAAACTTCAAATCTTTCATTGGCAGTATCTCAACCGATTTGAGACATATTTGACTGATTTTGCATATTTTGAAGTATTTTGTGGTGATCTTTTATGTTTTGTGGATAAATTTCAAAAATTGTAAAAATAGGTTTTTGGTGACGTCTCATTTTAGAACTCTATTACAGTTGGAAAACTTACCGGTTCACTTGGATCTTTTTATTCTTATGATCAAACTTGATAATTCTATATTTTAGGGATTTTGGGATTTCGAATGTAAAAACTTTGAACCTTATTAAAATCCACAGGTTGAGCGGACCCTTCTGCTAAACGTTTTATATTGGGCAGCCCTGACTCCATTGGATCTCAAATTGCACCATTGACCGGTTGTTTTCCTTTTGACAGGAGTTAAGTTGAATGTAACTATTTTGAACAGGCAAGGTGAATTTCCGAATAAGAAACTTAAAATTTTACAATCAGACCTGCAGTCTTGAACAACCATACCCTGTATTGATAAGAAAAAATTAAAGTGGAATTTTTTTGAGAAACTATAGGACTTAATTCAGTTTAAAAAAGAATCTTTCAGCACTAGAAATCTTCAACCCTTCTTTTGAACTGACACTTTCGGGTACTTGTTTTAACAATTGTGATACTTGTGGGTTCAACCAACACCGTCTATATTATCATGAATAGTTTTTTCTTATGTGCTCAGCAACAATATTTTCTATTTGGATTTTTTAGGTCGCGTCAAAACTTATTAGCTGATAATAATGGGTCTGTTAAATTTGTTTTAGACATATTGAGGTGAGTTATTGCAGATTGCGGTTATTGCAGATGACCCCACCCCCCGTTTTAAATAGCTCTGGGATCCAAAGCCCCTCTTTCATCGACGAAAACCGTCGATAAAAATTCGTGTAACGTATTGTCCCTTTTATGAACATGCATCTGTTCTTCGATCAAAGAAAAGAATTTACTTATTTCGTGCAGACTATGTAAACACCTCGACTGATCGAGTATTAGAACAGGAATGTCGGAATGAAATTATATTTTTTATGGAGAAGATTGACGAGAAAGAAAACAAATTGGCTTACAATTTCGGCTTCAGAATTCAATGGAAAGCCCTGACAATAACGTCTTGCTGAATTACAGTTGATACAATAAAGTTTCTCACCAATTACCTAGAGGCGAAATATGAAAACATACGAATAAAATGGAAGAGAAAACGTACATTCTTTTAACTATAATGATTACAGCCGACTGTATGAGGTATCAGTGGTCTTCTTTAATTTTAATTAGAAAAAAGCTCTTGATTTCCTGATGATATTTAAGTGCAGCCAGGGCGGTATATGCAAGATTCGCCGCATTTCACTATTGAATCTATTATTTTCAATTCATTGCAAATAGGGTGCAAAAAGGTAACTAATTTACAGCAAACTGAAACCTTCATGAGCCTTTTCAAGCGAATCGTTGCATCAGGCGGAATTTTTTCTCTTAGAATACATATGAACACAAGATATAAACCGTCTTGTTTAAAGAAATACCCCAATAGGCGTGGTTAAACTTCCCCATACGAAGAGAACGTTAATTTAAACCATCAGTGTCACTGTTAGAGCTTGAAATGTCAGATAGTGCCGGAAAATCAGAGGTGTCTGCAGAACTTTCATCACCGGAGAGGTCTGACCAATCATTTCCAAGGTCTGCTTCCACCTGTAAGGTATTGTCGTGATCGTTGCCAGCAGTCCCCTGTGCTGCAGTCTTTCCAATGTACGGTCCAAATGTGTTACAGGCAGAGACAACCTGCTTCCTACAATAATGCAAACCTTGGTGTACCAATGCAATTTTACCTCGCAAAACATCATCAGTTTTCTTTGACGTTGTATATTTAGCCTAAAATGCAGATTAAAGAATTATTTTGGGGGTTTAAGGACCAACTTGCAACTTTAAAAGTGCTGGATGGATGGAAGAAAGGATTGAAGGAAGGTAGATGGATGGATGCATGGATGGATGGATGGATTGATGGATATCCATAGAGTTACGAACGTAAGACAAATTTTGAATTGGCCTGACAAATACAAAAAATTATTTAACTTGTCACAAGTCAAACAAAACATACATTATTATCTTCGTGAATGTCTGGAATTCCATGCTCACAGTTTCCAGCAAAGGAGTCTGCAATAATTAAAATAGAAAGTTATTAAAATCGTAGATGCGTGTAGGCTGTCCAATTTAGTTGCATTGTTAAATACATTTGCAGTCGTACAGCTTTTTGACGAGGCTGGTTAAGATAAGACTTCTAAGACTTCTAAGAGATGGAGTAAAAATTGACGATTTCTTCTGTACCAAATAAGTACCAACACGATAAATTGTTACCAGAAAGCTCCTTTAAACGTTTCTGTAGATCTTTCATTTTTTTCTCCTTGAAAAATGAGATGAAATTCTTCATTTCCAATTCAATTAGAGACAGCTCCTCGTTCAGCCTCTTCAAGGTAAGGTTCAAAACCAGGAGGGTCTGCTTCAGTTCAGAAGTTACTTGAAAAAAAACAGAAATAGAAACATTAACACTTTATTTTGACATTTTTAACCAACAGATCAGAAAGAATACAATTAAAGCAATACCCTGAAAGAATACAGTGATATGTTTAGCTGACTTTAAAGACAAAAGGAAATATAAAACGCAAAGGCAATGAAAAGTGAGCAGTTATTCTTGAGCATATTGAAAAATGAATACCATTCATCTCATCAGAGGGCATCTGTCTCCAGGGAAAGCTGTCTTGCAAACAGGACATCAACGATATTCGGGGTAAATTGGCGATGACATCTCGTCTAGCATTCTCGTTGTAAATGGAGACGAGTGTTTTCAACAATTCAGACTGTTTGGAAACCTTCACGCGTATCTTCTTTCGCTTTTTGCTACTATCTACAAATCAATTCATTTGAGGTCTTGAAATAAATTCCATTCAAAGAAGAAGGCACGCTTTTATGTATAGATCATGACGTTTCTAAGCTGCTAATCTGAAATTCAGGCTTACTGCAACCATGAGACAGCTGTACAGCTCTGTCTATATGACATCAAGTGGTCTATGGCTGATCGTTAAACGGCAACTTCTACTAATAAAAAACCCGAATTATGTTATTAGTGAGAAAAAATGAAAACAATTATGGCTCAACGAGAACGTCAAAAATTACAAACCTGCAATTCTACTAAGAGAGTTGGTCAAATGAATTATGGTATAGGCTGTAGCTTCTAGACGACGTTGGTGCAACAAAAATACCTTCTCGTACGTATTATCTAGGCCATCGTGGATAATGCTCTGGCTACTGGCGAATTTTTCATTCAGGTTGACATATTTTTTCTGAAGTGCTGCATGACTTTTGGCGAATGGCTTAAGTCGAAGGGCTGCAATTTTCAAAGGAACAACGGCTTCAGTATCACACACGTGTTCCATATTATCAGGTAGCTGATCCTTTTCCTTCAAAAGCATGTACAGCATGACTAGCTCTTGGTCATCAGATATACTGACTGACAACAAAGAGTTCTGTGCCACTGAAAACATAAAGGAATATTAAGGTTTTTTAAAAACAAGTCTAATGATTGACAGCAACCTTTGGACAGCAAGTGTCAATCAATGCCATACAATTCTGAGAGCATAAATTATGTCAATTTAGTACCTTCGGCATTCAATATTGCTTCATCTTTCCAATTTTGATACGTTTCGGCGGTCACGGTAACGTTGCACTTAGCCAACTGTTTCTTTATGTCTTGTTTAACCTCCACACGTTTCCTTAAAATCTAGATCAGAAGTGCACGTCAATTTTCAGACATAAGGATACTAGGATGGAGACGTTAGGATACGCTAGGAATGGAGACGTCAGACATTTCATACCAAAGCTTTTGCAGATGAAATATATCCAACAGAGAGCGAGAACATGTCACACTATAGCTTTACTTGTTTCTTAAATTTCCCAAAATTTTCTTTTAATTATCATGAGAAGAAACTCTTTTTTACACACTAAATTAACAGATAAGTTCAGCATTGTAGGACTTACTAAAAAAAATTCCTACGACTAACAATTTTGGGAAACACAAACAAAAGCATAGAAAGATAGGAGAGGAAAAAAGAAGGATAAAATATATTGTATACATCGCTATATCTTTTGTGTAAGTCTGGAACGAAATTATCCAATTTACGCCGGTTCCAGGCAGCTGCATGTTCTGTTATCGTCTCCTCTCGGCCTAAACAAAAGAGGAATAGGTGTACTATACCGAAAACATTAAAAACACAGTTTATGCAAAACAATAAAAATATCATTAACAACTAAAATGAAAAATTAAAATACAACAGTTAGAAATATGATGTAAACCAACGTTTGTCTGAAAATATACTTACGTTCTGGTAGCATGTATTTTGTCGTTGTTCCAATCCTCGACAGATAACTAAAGATCTGCTCGTCTTCCTCTCCCGATGTAAAGCCAGCACCATCTGTCCAAAGTCCTCCAAAAAGAACCTGAGTACCAAGCAGAACAAAAAGTTAGGAATAAGTACACCGTAAGCTTAAATATCAAAGCACGTAAAACTTTGTAAAATCGGTATACAAATAGAAAAAGGTGCCAGAGTAAGTTGGATTGTGCGGTTTACATTCACTTTGCCTCTTAAACCTTCTCAACAATCTTTCAACTTTTTTAAAACCTTGAAACAGTGATATAAGTATTCAGCTATAGAAAAGAAAAAACAAGTTGATATGTTTGAAAAATAAATTTCAGTATGAAACTTATTCAAACTGAAATTGGCTCATAAGCCTGTATTCCTTTGCATTTCTGGTACACAAATTCCACCAGATTAAATTTTTTGATGATATTCTCGAATCTATGTGCTGTTGCGAATTCATCATCATCATCATCATCATCATCATCATCATCATCATCATCATCATCATCATCATCATCATCATCATCATCATCATCATCATCATCATCATCATCATCATCATATCATCATCATCATCATCATCATCATCATCATCATCATCATCATCATCATATCATCATCATCATCATCATCATCATCATCATCATCATCATCATCATCATCATCATCATCATCATCATCATCATCATCATCATCATCATCATCATCATCATCATCATCATCATCATCAATCAAATTAACTAAAGTACATTTTAATAATTTTAATACTTAAATAAGCAAGTATACCTCACAGTGAGCAGGATGTCCCTTAACATGCATCATTCCAATGGCGAAATTTGTCATTCGGTGGAGCTCCGGGTCATTTTTTTGCACCCACTTTGAATATTTGCAGGCCACATCGGTATAAAGCATTGTCAAGCCACGCTCCGCTAAAAAGTTCTTCTGCAGGTAATAACTGTATCCGAACAGTTCACCCCTGAACATGTTCAGCGCTTTCTGTGCAATGCGATGCCGGCATGATATCATCACGATACCTGTCTCGTCCAATTTGGCAAATTTGCGTGACCGTTCCTGAGCAGCTTTCCATAAGGTAGATCCACACAGGCCGCTCTCAATTTCCTAAATCAACAGGATGAAAAATATACAAAATAATGCAAAAGTGAAGGGAAGTTGTGGCAATAATAAAAACGAGAGCGCACTTTTCGTCAGCCTTATCTGCAAAAAACCTTAGAAAAGGGTGTAACTGTAATCAATATTCTTTAAAAACAATATAAAGTAACGACTTTTGCTGTACTGTGTACACAAATCTTACCGGCATCCTACTGATATCTGGATTATCATAAATGGTCTGTAAGGCATTATCCACTTCCTCGTTGTTACAAATGAACAAGTCCCCATAATAAGACGGCCTCTTTCTTCTAAAGAAACAAAAAGGGTTCAATTAGGTTATGAATATAAAGATGACTTGAGCTGTAACCAAACAAAATGATGACATTTTTTTCTATAAAGGTTAACGCTCTCATTAGACCCTCTGAAAGCTTTTGATCCAAAATAAAAGCCTTCTGGTAAAATTAGTTAGCATATTTCATGGAAAGCCCTGCGTATTTTCATTTTTTCGATCGATCAATACAACTGTACAGAAATATGAATAATAAATTTAATTAAGAAAGAAGAAACTACATACTCTCCCGATCCTTTATAGCGGTACAGTTTGCAATTACCGTCAACATGACTCGCGTGCTGTTCGACACTACAGCTTGGGCATTCAAACAAACTTTTCATTTGCATTTCTTCGAATTGCATGCTGCAATACTTCCATTCTTTGAAGCATTTTGAAAAAGCAGTTTTGTTGATAGTTGATTGCTACAATCATATAATGCGATAAGCATTCAATCAAGCATCAAGTAATTCTTAACATAATATTGACTCACTTAACCATCAGGAAAATATCATGACAAATTTTGTATAGGTATCGCTTCACCTTAATCAATCATGTGCTATGACAAATATGGAGCCTGTTCAGTCAGGAACTGCCTTACATTTGCGAGACACTGGACATGTCCAGATGGAACGATTTCATATAATGATTCCTTGGTCAAGAGTTATTGTCAGCTTTCAACATACCTATAAATTTTTTTTCATAGGTTGAACAAACGAAAATTTTTCATTCCCTTCTTTAACGCAAAAAATGTTTAGCTCACCCTACTTCTTTCCTTAGACAAGTGCTCGAGGCTCTTGAGAAAGGCTGCTTCAGAGGTTCCTGGCATGAAAGACTTAAGCCGGTCCCAAAATACCAAAAGTTCTTCGTCAAAGAGGTAAGTGATATTTGAAATGCTGCCTGGCCAGTAATGAGATTCCATCAAGGTTGTCGGGCTAAAGGGGTCAATGTCTGCCATGCAATCTCCGCAGCAAAAATTTTGCTTGAGCAGATCGTAACGTCCTAAAAGGAAAAAAATATTTCTTTGGCAAATAATCATCTGATATTAACAAAAGTGCCAGCAAAATTTTAACATAAAGTAATGAAAATACATCATGCCATCGTGCCCCTCTTACTTCTTTCTATGATTGTAAATAGGTAGCCATAGTTCAACCCCAAAAGAGTTTGCAAAGTTAATTGATTTGAAAACTAACAAAAAATATTCTCAGACTTTGAAGAAAGATAGGACCGATATTGAATTTTCGCCCTATGTTCTTCACTACCGAACTAGCATATTGGGTTAGCAACAGATGAACACAATATTTTAAAAAAAGTAAAACGGTTACCTTGCAAGTTGACTACAATACATTTCTGATTAGAAATATTGACACAATGTTCTTCTGTCCTTTTGTTGCAGTTCTTACATACAGGGGGCTTTAGTGGGACACATTTTCCTGAAACAATTGCATTATGCTGTTAGATGACACTACCAATAATCAGTTATCTATATAAATATATATATATATATATTCGCTTTGCTCATTTCATTGGGCTCTTTGGCTCAGCGGAATGAGCATTGGTTCTTGAAGCAGCAAACTGGTGTTTGATTCCGGCCAAGAGTGGTTTGATACAATTGGGCAGCACCCTTGTGGAAAGAATTTTCCTTCTGTCAGCCTTTGCCTTGTGGTTACATATATAATTGCATATATAGATAATGCAATAAATTTTCCATGCAAAAAAGTACATATACTTACCTAAGTACAATACAAACAAAGCAAACATAAATTTCTATCAAACAAGATCCTCTAAGAAAAACTTCCACAAAAGAAAATTTAAGGTTAGAAAATTCCTTTACTGAATAATTTGGGTCTTTATCTGACAGTTAGAAGAAAACAGTCAGGTTACAATTATATCAGACAACATAACATGTTTGACAAAAAATGTTTGCTATCAAAAGTGAAAAAGAAGTTAAAAGTCTACAAAAGGTTGCTTTATACAATTCAGATGGTAGCAAGTTAATGGCTAACAAGAGTGAAAATACAACCAAACGATTACCTACCTATCTCAGTAATCTTCCCAGCATCATTCACTGACTGAAGAGGAGGAATGAATTCAAAGGTGCCATTCTTCCAAACCATTCTGTCATGGAATGGCTGCCTTCTGTGCAATTGTAAGTCACAAGACCCACACACAGGTCCAACAGATCTGCAATGGCGACAACTGATATAGGGGGGTGCCTGTTTGCAGTAGCAACAAAGAGACTCTGAGAGGAACTGTTCCTTCAGCATTGCTTCAGTAACAGACTCTCTATTTTCTTCCCATTTTGCATGTGAAGCAGTCTGCCTCTCAGACCATCTTGAAGCTCCTGCAGATTCAATTATCTCTCTGCACTCTGTCACCACTTCATCTAGTTCTATTTGATGATAAACGTTCTTGCTTCAACAAAATGTACTCAAGACTGGGAGAGTATTTTTCGAACACAAAGCATGCAAAACAGAGGTAATATACAATGTGAATGTATTCTGTAGAAAGAAACAGCCCGGTTGTGAACATTTTGTAATTTTTCAGAGTTCAAATTAAGTTTCATTGTTCAGTTTGAATTCTGGATACTTTATCGAGATTGAGACAAAATCGAGATACTTTATAGCAACAGTTGTTCTGAGTTTCACGTGTATGAAGTATTTTGTCTTCTATTACCTGTTCTAAAAAATAGGATTTCTACAATTGAGAGGACACAAACCAGAAGTAGGGAAGAATAGGCCAAGCTCTAAGATTATGCCAGATATATTGATGTCATAAAATAAATGCGTAGAACTGATGCTATAAAATAAATGCAAGCAGAAGATTAAAAAAAAATTTATTAAAAATAATACAATTTGCCATTCAAATGAAAGTAAAAGGAAATGAAGTACACACCATAATCAGAATCAATTGCACCATCTGGAAAAGATGCATCAGAATTATTGGCACAATCTTCTATAAATAAAAAATAAAGAACACCACCTTTCATAAAGGAATAACAAGATTCCAAGAATGCTAATGTCAATAAAAACACACAAATACAGATCACTGACATTGAGGTTATCAAAGAAAAAGCACATCAGCAATAAGTATGATGTAGAAAGTAACAATATGCAAAATATTACTATGTAAACATACTAAAATAACAAACAGCTTTAAAAGGGTGATGCATTGCTACAATGTAATTTAGTAAAAAATGTCTGTGTTTAAAAATATCATACTATTAGTTTCACAAGAAACAGCCACGGAAGGTTCTTGTTTCTTCTTTTTTCTTGCTTTCCTCTTGCTTTGGCAATGAAAAACCCTACCACTTGGATTATATGAAGTAACCCTGGTATGGGCCTTCATTGGTTTTCTTGTTTTTGTTTTTTTAAGGATGCCATCAATTTGATCTACGAGGTCAGCCATGGATTTTTTCTTTCTGAACCGTGATCCTGAATTTGTCACTCCTTAAAAGATATGTTTAGACAAACTGCATGAAGACATTCAAAGCATACTTTAGCAATACCTGTTTTTTTTTTCCTATTTCCAATTACCTATTTCCAGTTTACCCAATGATGTGTTATTCAGAGTATGATAAAATTCAAGCAAGGATCTCTCTTAAGGATCTCGTATTCAAATTAAAAGTGTATGTAAAGCATCAAGTAAAGTGGTAAGACAAAATCCGGAATTAAAAATGCATAAAATATATATTCTCATTTTGAAGATTTCATGAGCAAATTGGGCATAAGTACAAAAAAAATTTAATTAGGGAGAGAAAGACCAGTATCGTGAACTATATTAGATGGTAAATTCAAGTTTCAAAGTAATTTATTAGTTATCCACAAATACAAGCCAAAATTGAATCATATTCTAGAAAAAGGCTTTGTATTAACGATTATTATTATAATAATTCAAAATTGCAACTGAGAACTACAAAATAAATATATTGCACATAGATGGTAGATGCTTTTTATGGCTAAGGGATAGTTGATGAGCTCTCAAAGTTTGGGTAAATAACAGAACAAAAGCAATAATAGCAATAAATCATTGTTTAAGACTCTTTTCATTCAATATATCATTAAAGAAATACAGTTCTACACCATTGTTGTATTAGGCAGTGTAACATTGGCGACTTATCTTTCGAATAACAAATTGAAAATTAAAATGACAGTTGGAATAAACATTACAATAAGAGTGTGTTACAAGTCAATTAAATTGGCATCTATCTAAGGTTTATTTCTTTTACAAAATGTGTTTCGTAAAATGTATACACATAACAAGTGCACAATAATGATAATAATGGTGATAATAATAGAGTAATAATTATAATAATTTTAAGATACAAAGGATAATATAATTGGGAACATGCTACGCAGTAAGAAGATTCCTAATGAACTAGTGAAACCATTGAGTTAGTGCAGTTAATAATACAATACAATTAAAAAGTGATACCTTACACTTGTATATGTTTAGAAAGAACTCATTGTTAAGTAAAAAGGGTATAATAATAATTATAATAGTAGTTTAATTCTGTACATAGGCATAAATTCTTGGTGAACATGAAGAAGGCGGTTTCTAGAAAAACTATATATTGTACTAAAACTTATAGTAGATCATATATAGGTCTATTTCAAACTGTTTTAGGTGGGGAGGAATTCATTAAACATGTCCATGAAGAAACGTAAAATAGATCATTTAAAAAAGGAGTCATTGTTGGTTAACAACTACAAATGTCTTATATGATAATGGAGACTGTTTTTGAATATATTTTATGATGCAGCTTTTACAACAGCTTTTGGAAGGCAATATCTATCCTTTGTCTTCTTGTACTTCTCAAATGCCATTCAAGGGTCTATGCATCGTAATATCCGTGCGTGTAATGTTACGTCTCACTAATGTCTTCACGCAATCTACGATAGACAAGGCATGACAATTGTATCTTTTCAATCGATTCTCGTAATCCAAGTCTCTAATTTACGGCATCATCTTGGTTCCCCTTCTATTCATTTTTTTAAATGAAATGAAATAAACTGGACTGAACTGGCTAGTTTTTAAAAGAGTGTCTATAAGACATTAGCGTATTCTAGGTGAGGCCTCATAAAGAGCAGAAATTCATATAGAAAACGAAACAGCAGCAGAAGAATAAGCCATAATTATACCTGAAGAAGAAGCAGTTGGAGAAACGATTTGAGGAACCGCCTCCGATCCATCGAAGCTAGCAAGCTCGTGGTCCGCCATTTTACAAAATTAGGCTACACACTCTCCTCCGTTACCCCGTAGGTGCATTGGAAGTCTAGTTTGTACGGATAACAAATATGACAGATTGCCGGCATAAACGTAGGAAAAAGATATATGACAACAGATGGCATATTTGAGAAGGAGACTGTGTTGCCATGGCAGCATGATTGTTTTCGCAGGACTTTTCACAATCCAATTTCTTACTAGAATTTTATCTCTAGAGTTTTTATATTTTGACGAAAAATTTTGAGATTCGTAACGCTTAACATGATTAATTAGTCGATTTACCTAAAAGGAATTCTTCAAGGTGTCACGTTATGAAGGTTCTTCTCATATCTAGAATTCAACTTATCTTAACGGGAAGCGTAAAAGTACAGAGGGGTTAAGCTGTTTGTTGTTTGCTTTGGGATAGGGAGCCTTTTCTCTGGGACGTGTACTAAATTTTCCAACGAATTGTTTCTTAGACCGGAAAATTATTCAATCTTCATACCACCACCATTTAGATCATTTAAAGGGATATGGCCACGCAGCAATAAACTACATAGCAAATTTCCCATCAACTTTTTGTTCTAAGTATGTATTTGTACTTCAAATAAATACAAGTAAATTCATTGCATGCCTGAAGATCAAAGTTTTACTTTTATGATGAACATATGCGTATTTTATTAGTCTACGGTCTTTGCGTGTAAATTCAAAAGAGAAGTGTTTTAATCTTTAGATACTGATTAAATAAGTTGCAAACCAAAGCAAAACAGAAAAATGGGAAAACCATGACATTCTAGGGTCTATCACAGCTCAGCTGAACATATCGATTCTACCTCGCGATCTAAATGCAAATCAGCTATCTACTCTAGCGACACAAGTTCCCTCAATGGTCGTGATACGATTAAGGAAATATTTGAGAAAGGAGGTAATTTGTAATCGCATTACCGCCTACGAAGCACCGAAAGTCGAATCGACATTTTAAGAACTCACTATTTGCAAGAAAATGTGGCTACTTTGTGCAGTCTTTTGACCCCCAGAGTGAAGAAATCTAAATACCTTCTTCAAAAAATTTTCTAGCCCTGTGAATTCAGCTCTGTAAAAATACGACAACGTGATTGTTTTGGGTGTTCTGAAAAATGACACCGAATGTCGAATCGAAATTTTCAGAACTCCCTATCTGCAAGGAAATGTGGCAAATTACTGTAATCATTCGACCCCCAGAATTTGTAAATCTAAATAACTTCTTCGAAGATTTTTCTAGCTCTGTGTATCTGGCTCTGGAGAAATACGACAACGCTATTGCTTTGGGTGATTTGATAAATGACACCGAATGTTGAATCGATATTTTCAGAACTCACTACCTGCAGAGAAATGTGAATAATTTGTGCAGTCTTTCGATCCCCAGAGTCAGCAAATCTAAATAAATTTTTCAATGAATTTTCTAGCTCTGTGAATTCGGCTCTAGAGAAATACGACAACGTTATTGTTTTGGATGAACTGAGTTTCTTAGTCTATCATGGGGCAAAGGAAACACTGCCTCATTTTCGAAGCGGGATCTACGGAAAGCAATTTATACCTGATCTCGGCTTAGTAAAAATCTAAAGTGGCACCCTTTCCAATGAAGTCAAGCATAAAAATCAGCGAAACCTGTGCGTTTCACTAAGAAAGAAAGCGATCAGAAATCATTTTAAAAATGCAACCAAGAATTTTCTACTTTCAAACCAAGACACTTGGAATCTTGTCAAACCCTTTCTCTCAAATAAAGTGGGGCTACATGATAACGGCATCTTTCTTGCTAAAGAGGATAAAATCATATTAGAAGACAAAGAAGTCGTGAGTCTCAATCAAGGGTGTCTTAATTCTGTTTATCGCACATAAGCTATCTAGATTCCAATGAAAAAACTTTACGCATTTATAACTCAATGAACCAGGATTTTGGTGTACATCATTTATGTACAGGATTTTGGTGTACCAAATAGTCAGGATAAGAGCAGTAGTATGTGAATAGGATAACAATGTCCAAGCTGAAGGTCAGAAAATTTCCACCAATGAGAAGGACAATGAAAACATGTTGCAGCACCATCGAAATTTTCTTAGGCCCCGTTTACACGAGAAAAAAAGGAACGGATCCAAAAGAACCGGACCTTTTAGGTACCATATGGGTACGGTCCACAAGCGTTTACACGAGATCGGATCCTAAACTATAAAGTGTTAACACGGAAACGGGCCAAAATCCAATCGTTTTTTAAGCATGCGCAATGACAAGGTAATTGTTGATTTTCATTTTGGCAGGAGAATACTGGGTAAATGGCGTCATTTGCAAGCAACGATAAGCGTTCATTTTTACATCGACAGACGAGGAGACAGCTTTGTTGATGAAATTAGTTTTGGGTTGCAATGCTGCTAAAATGCAAAATGGAGAAGACTAGGGGACTGTTATGTCGAAATACGAAGACATTCTACTTAAATTTATCGAGGCCTATCCAGAAACAGCAACAGAGGACTTTCCAAAAAGTCAGGCTAAAGAAACTAAAGAAATTACAAGAGAAAAGGTGAAAAGAAAATAAACAAGATGAAGACAGGGTTTAGAAAGGCTGTCGACTGTGGAAAAAAGAGTGGGGGTGGGAGAGTAGTTTCTTTGTTTTATGATGAGTGCTGCAAATGAAATAGCCTCCATTGACCCCAGCAACAGTCTTATTTTACTGCCGTGCCTTTGCGGATCCGTATCTTCCCGTTTACACGGCGACGATGAAGGTAAGAATCCAAATGGATTCGCTTTCGAATCGTACCAAAAAAGGTATATCACTTGACAAACATCTTGAAGATACCATACAACAGAATCAATGGGCGTATAAAAAGGGACTCTCCGCCGAATCTCTCCTTCTGTACCTCACAGAACATGACTTGAGACGATTACAACTGATTTCGATTACTGTGAGGCTATTTGAAAAAAATGATGTATCACACGATGTATCAAAACCTTGTATGCTGACTCGATGTATCAAAACCTTGCAAATGTGATGCTATGCTCTGTGATGTGCGTTGAACTATTTAACGTTGATCATTTCACACGGCATCTTTTGCAACAATCTCCAGATTCATTTGCACAGTTTAATTTTTGATTAAATAACATCATTGCAGGAACAATTTTATCAAGAGCACTTACAACAACTTCTTTATTGAGACAATGCAAGAATACCACTTTGCGGCAAACACAATTTGAACTATTTGCTTTGTATTAAATTGTTAATTTTCTAAAAATAATTAGGGAGTGATACGGCTGTAAATGAAACATTTGAATCTCGAATGGAACTCGAAGACAAAAAAACTTCCTCCGTGTCAGGCAGTCTTTTTTAAAGTCTTTCAACATACAAGAAGCTTAATTGCCAATGTGTCAATATTCAACAATTGACTAGAGCTGCGAATAAGTAAGCAATGTGCCTATACACGAGTCTATTTCTTGATTCTAAAGCAAAAGGTGATGCAACAAAAATATAAATGGCTGGAAGTAAGCAAAGCAAGCTTCGACTGCTAAAACATTCTGACATGAAGCAAGATATAAAGCAAAACAATAGGTCAGCCGATCACATGTACATAAGAAAATTAATTAGTTGTGATATAAAAGCATAGTTTTTCGAGATCGGCTTCAAAGAAATGATATTAAGAAGCAAAAAGATCAATGGTAAGAACGAAGATGGACAAAAAGGATATTTTCAAACTTTTGTACAATAATTGACTCTAGACGACAGAGAATGTTACGATAAGCAAGTTTGATATGGATCTTGCTTGCAAATGATATTGTTTATTTTGTTACCTATTAATCATGTCAAAGCTCTCGTAGAAGCTGCTTGGCTTGGCAGCTGGAAAGTAAAATTCTCAAGAATTCTCAAGCAAAGTGGGAGATATCAAAAATTGCTATCTCTGTTTTTCAGATGTAATTATAAATGATATAAACACTTTTTAGGGCTGTAATTTTGCCAAAGGGATATCAGTGTAAGAATGTGAGAAGGCTGAAGCCTAGTTATTGAGCCACATGTGAATAACTAAATAGCGAAACAACTAAACTTTTCCAGGGGCCTACCAGAAACTAAAATCTAGCATCTGATGAAATGGTCGACTGGCACACCGGCCTACCAGTTCGTGGCCGGAAGGTCCCCTCGAAATCTGGTACAAGAAACCCCGTTTGTTCCAAAAAGGGCCTCATCTTACTTGCATTTTGATGTTTCTTTACAAATTATGAACATCTTGAATCGCATTTAAAACTAGGATATGTAATTGTAAAAAGTAGTTGGTGTTTTTATCAAGAAAAATTCTTTACTGACACATACACAAAGAATTGGTTGAAATTTTCTTGATTTGGGGTTTTTTAAAGTAAATGTCTTTCTGGTTAGATTTTTGTTAGTTCCAGGTTCAATTGATCTAAACGGCTTTAGGTAAACAGTTCCCTTGGAGTTGCAAAGTCAACCAAGATCTTCGGCAATGTTGATGATCTAATCAAAGCAAGCAGCAACAAAAACTATTTTGATTCAGCAGTTGAGTCCAATACAAACTTGATGGTAACAATTTCTTTGACTCAAGTCATAACAGTAACATGATGCAATGCGAACGTGCAATGACTGTTCGACGGGCGTCGCTGCGGTGTCGCGATTCGCCTCTCGAACAATTTAGATTTTGGCTTGAGCTTGACTGCTGAGTATGAAACACGACATGGGGAAGGTATTGCTGCATGAAATAAACAATGGACAAGGAAAAACAAGAACAGGAAATGTACAGGGATAGAATGAATTGCTGTCAAACGATGTCAAGAATAATCCACATTGCACAATTTGTACGAGTTTGGAAAATAAGGTGTAAGAGTAAAATTGCGCAACATTTCGAGTCACTAGTAGTTCTCAGGAAAAATAAAGGCAAAGTCAAAACAACTTGGCAAAGAGAGAAAAAAGAGAAGAATTTGTGGAGGGTTTCAAATAGGCTTCCTGATTTTCGCAATCTCGCTACGTTTCGCCCAATTCTAGGGAAATCACATTTTGAAAGTAGATAAATATGGAAATTTATTGAAATAATATTCTTCGTCGCTTTGAACCATTTCTTGTACCAATATGTAAATCATCCTATTTTCAGGACACATTTTTATCTTGAGCTGTTTCGACCACGTATTGCACTTTTAGACAGCAATTATCCTAAGGTAAGAAAAATACTTTCTTCTTCCATCTTTGGTCCCATCTCAGATCTCCTTTTATGTATTTAATTTGTATCAAATCGATATGGAAAAACAGGGCTTTCATATGTGAACAGCATACTTTCCATTTTGCTCCATATCTTGCTTTGTGTAAAAAATGATCAACAGTCCATGCCTAGCACTCTTATTGTAGCTCCAAAGGTGTGTGATAAAGAAATCAAATATAAGCACACTGCCAACAGCTTAAATTTAAAGTTAGATGTTTTCATTCACAGCCCTTTCAAAACAGACATTCCTGGAGGAAATCGTTTCGGGGCAAGTCAATATATTATAGTTTACAATAAACACTGTGACCTGTTTAGAATTCAAAAACCCATAAGAATATTCTAATGTTGCTGATTGGATTGTTAACAAAAGGCCTTTTATGTAGGTCTAACCAATCGATCATCGATATGCGTCATGGTTTGGTTCCTTTAGAATCAGGAGAACTTCGAGCCTTCTAGTGTCCAGAAAAGCAGTTAACAATAATCGAGTTGCTTTTTCTGAAAGGTGCCCACCTTGCGTGCACGAAAAAAAAAACAAGTTTCTGAATGGCGGCTAATGCTCTTGGATAAACAATATTTGATCACTGAATGTGAGCTGATTGAACGACTCTGGTAATTACAGTTAATATTATTTTTCATTAATTATGTTTGTGTTGGAATGTTCATGACATTTTGAAAACTACAGAGTCATGAAAGTTTTGAAATAAGATGTTCTTGTTATCATTGCGATTGGAAGTTCATAATTAAGAATATCATTTTCTTTAGACATTTTTTTATCCAGATAAATTACATGAAGTTTCAAGACATCACGTTACTAAAATAAAATATTACTAAATGCAAGCTACGTTACATACACTGCAGAAAAGATACCCAGATTACACCTAGACCTTAACATAAACAACCTCTTAAATAGAAATACTCAATAATACAAGGGAATGTGTGACATGGTTTGTGAGGGGATATGACTGATCTTTAATCGAAGCGTTTAGTTTTAAGAAAAATACTTTAATATGAAATTCAAAAATTAGCATCTCGAATGCCCTACTACCGGTTGTTTCTAAAAAATGAACAAGGTCACTGCAGTACTGGAATAGGGTCCCTTATGTAATCAGGCATAGGCGTAAAGTCAGGGGGGCTCTGGGGCTTCCATTAGGAATTGTCATTAATTGTTTGAGCCCCCCCCCCCCCGAGAAAAATGCAAGTCTACGCCTTCGTAATCAGGAACAAAGTTATTGATGGATTTATAAACAAGATTAAAACGTCTACTCCATCTTCTAGAGTTTAGCAACTCCCCTCCTAAGTTCTCTGTGCAGCCGTTACATAGACGTTCCTCTCTAAGGACCTCACTCTATTTTAGTCGCAGAAAACTGCAAAGATTTAAGCTTTTCCAACAAATAGTTTTCAAAAAAGTATATCTTTCAAGTGTATGATGAATTACATCGCTGTATTCTAGATTGGAGCTTGAGTATAATTTATTCAGCTTCTTTAATGTATTTCTAGACAGATATTTTGCTAAAAACTTCAACATTATTTTTTCAATCAGATGCAGCCTTTGCATATGAGCTGAAAAATGTATTTTCCAATTAAACATCATTCCTAATTGTTATCCTGGATAAGTGTCGTTTGCTGGTATTTTTATTTTAAAAATCGCAAGATGATCTATTTCCGTGAAAATGTTATTTAGAGCTTGTTTGAAGGGTGTCCATAAACTGTGTGCTTATAATTATATAAGATCCAAGCACGTGCGGGGGTGTATAGGGGTAGATTTACATGTTTAAAAAAAACTTTTGTTGGTAAAAAATGATTTTCCATCACTCACAAAGACCCCCCTTCCCAACATTTAACTTGGTCCCAATCCTCTAAAAGGAAGAAAGTCACCTGTGAGCCATACAACGGGTGCATATATACAAAAATTTGGTAATCATACACTAGATGAAGTGTTAAATGTCATGGCAAGCAATAAGGCTTATAGAACTTGTTCTTAGTAAAAGGCATAATGATGAAATGTTAATTCCAATGCTGTTATCAGTTTTTACGATTGTTTGCAAGATTTTGACTTAACTAACCGCTCGATAAGGAATTATCCCATCTCAGGACGGCTTTGTTTTGGAGCCTGCACCGTGCAACCATATTTTATCGGCTTTTCATTTCGTACTTTTAATAAAAATCAAGTATTGTCACAGTGGACAGTAAAATTATTACGGAAGTTTTGAGAATGAAATGTATCTGTCAAAGAACAGACAGTCTGTTCTCTGAAACAAGCTTTATAAAAGCTTTATGGTTTTACCTTTTTCATGCGAATTTTTCTTACTTACCTTATTCAGACATTCAAATGACGATTCCCAAAAGAGTAAAATGTCTACCTTTGAAGATGTTGAGTTGCCAGAGGATCGCAAACTAAGAAGAAGATCAATCTATGTCATCTTCTTGATTACCCTCTTCAGTTCAACGGGTAAGAGTATTTGTGCCATTCTGTTCATATTTCTCAAACATTACAAGCTTTTTCAACAAAATTTTAAAGAAGAAGGAGAACAACAAAACTTAAACTCTTTATACAGTTATATAATGCAGCGGAAATGTAATTGGCGTTGATATCAAGAGTTTTGGGAGCGAAATTATATGAGAAGATAATTTGCTATGGTATCAATTATTGAATTTGTGATTAAACAATGATTAAGATTTTCAGAATGGACACTGAGTTTCTTTCACCATTTACAGACTATGCAATCACAATGCCATCACTCTGGCCTTATATGAAAAAGGTATGATTAAGTTTAAAGTTGTTTTTTGTTATTAGATTAAATTAAATTAATCTTAGATTAGCACTTTTCACCTTTTAGTTTCTTTATTGGTAAAATTGATTTTTCAACAAAGTCTTTTTCGCAATTTTTAAGCTTAATCCAAAAAGTGATGTTTACAAGCCAAAAAAGAAACTATATTCTAGGTGTTTGATAAGAAGATAAATTTTATGCCCAAAAATTCAAGGAAACATCAATTCATAAAATGCATTAACGCCGTTGATGACCAATTATTATCACAATAAAAAAGGTTAAATATCTACCTTAAAATGTTTTTAGTGTGGAAATGCTATATTTAAAAGACCTGGCCGATTAAAAATGTTCCGTAGCCAAAAAATCCCAGGAAAAATCGCCTCCCAGCATGCATTTTTGCCTTTGATGCCAAATTTAATTCATGCCAGACATTTGTCTTTTTTTGAAGTTTTTGGCTCTAAATTTTTTGTCATTCATACTCAGCAGCTAAATAATAGCAGCTACATTCAAAAAATACATTGTAAGTAAATCTTTAACTACTTAAATGATCTTAACACCATTATTTTACCAAAGTCATCATTGCATGTCAGAAATAGATGTATCCTGATCATTTTCAGCTGTAGGCGTTTTTATTCTGATTTATCGTTTCGAAAAGCTGAAGTTTTTCGGAAACGTTATTGATTTGGCGAGGCTTTAAATATAAAATTTTAATTGCATCAACTCATTCAAGAAATAGTTGTGTCCTGGAATTTTCGTCTAAGAAAAAAAAACTTGCGGATTCCACTTCAAAAAATACAAAAAAGCAAAAAAATGAATTTTAACAGGTTATATCATGAAAATTGTCTTGCATCTGCGTTGCCCTGCAGAAATCATTCAGAACATATTTCTCAAACAAACTCCATACTTCTTTTCATTCCTTCATGACAGCTAAAAATTATTACTAATTTTTCTATATTTTCATTAGTTTTAAAAATTCAGTACGCTCGATATATTTCTCGTTCTCATCTTTTTAGATTGATCAGCTGGTGAAACCAAGCCATCTTGGCATAGCAAATGGTGGTTATTGTCTCGGGCAGCTGATGGGTTTGCCTGCTTTTTATGCATGGCATAAAATCCATGGAGCCCGCGCGCCTCTTCTTGCCTGCATTCTGCTCAAGTTCTCTGCAGCTTGTCTGTATGCTCTTGCAGCAGCATTTCCTGGAAGCAATGGTCTAACCATGCTTATAGTGGCAAAATTTTCAACTGGTTTTTCTAGCGGTACGAAAATCTTTTTCTCCTGGTATTGAATAGGTATTTAACAAATTATCACCTCTTTGTTGACACAATTCCAAACTTCCGAAGGTAGTTTTTACGACTATGAGATATAGTTTTTATCAAGCAGTGCCATGGCCCTTCTTCTCGATCGAAACACACCTCTTGTCTCTTAAACTCAAAATCACTAGGAGCTGCTTACTAACCTCACTTAAGACTTATTTACCTCATTAACCTACGCACGAATCTTTCAGCTGAAGTCTACAACTCTAAGTACTGACCCATCATGGCATATCACTGTGATAGCCTCAAATGCTCTCTATTTAGGTATGGTCAATTAATTATCCTTTCTTCTGTGCTATTCTTACTAGGTCAAGTGGTTGTTTGTCGTACAGTCTTGGCACATTCAACGACTGTGAAGGAGAAAAAGATGAGCTTTGCTTTTCTTTCTACGTTTGAGGCTTTAGGATTTGCAATCGGACCAGGTAACCATTAATCTTGAGAAATTCCTCCGAATTGAATTAATATGACGAGCTTTGTTTTGGAAATATAGGATGGAAATGCACTACTGTTTTTCATTTATAAAGAATGCCCTTATTACACATTGATGAAAAGAACATTCAAAATTACGGGAATCTGTCTGTGCTGATTTGAACTAGGAATATCTAAAGAAAATAGCAAAAATATATTTTCATAAACTGACAAATACACATCTGAAAAATGTAGAATAAGGTTACAATAGCTGATCTTTTAATGATGAGCTGAAATTAAACTAGCTCTTCTCAGCTCGGTGTGTCATGATACTGCCAAAAAATGGTAAGAATTGTCTGCAGCTATGCGTGGACATTTCCTATTTTCCTTCACAAACCATAACATGTCAAAGTTAATAAATTCCCAACAACAGGTAACAGAGAGAATGATGGCAGTCAGAAATGTTAACAAGGATTTTCTCTTAAAGACTGTTAGAAAACTTTATTGCATGTACAATTAACTAATTTCTTATGAATAACTCTTGTTAAATGTTTCTGAAAATGATGAGAGAATTATAACTGCAGAAAGATAATTTTCTATTGCTGAATTTCATTTCTAGCATTATGCTTTAAAGATCAAAAAACATTTTTTTAAGTTTTGATTTATTATGTTTGTATCAGATATTTTATTCATATTCAAAACAAAAGCGGTTACATCCCTGTTGCACTTCGTATCCTAAAAATATTAAATTGTTGTACTTTAAAAAATGGCAAAACCTCTTGCTGCTGCTTGCAAATTTTAGTGGAAATAAATGAAGGTAAGGAGCAAAGTTAGCAAAGCAAGATGTTTTGTGAATGAAGAGATTTCGATATATTTACCAGAAACCATGATTATATCTATAATTGCATCTATTCAAATGGAGCATAAGGCTCAAGTCTTGATTTGCTGAGAGCTAGCGTCAAATCACGTGGCCTCTCTCGCCTATGAGCCAATCACAGGCGAGGAAGGGGGGGGGGTATCGTCATCGAGGGAATTTGCAAGACCAACTAAATTTGGTCAATTTCGATACGCTGATTACGAAAATCGATGTTATACGGAGAAATTCGGTACCAGGAAGCCTCTATTTCACGTTTAAACCTCGTTTTCGTCCAGATTTGAATGTTGAACGAAAGTTTGTAAATGAATCGATTTTTAACAATTTCGATGTGCTGATTTCAAAAAGTTATTTTATAAATGGCTTCGAAAAAAGCAAACATTTAGCAAACTAAAGCTTTTCATCTGACACTCTTCAGACTTTAAAACGTCAGAACATAGATCAAAAACTCTACGCCAGGAAATATATATACCCAGTTGTGGATCGAAATAGGCCAATCAGAAACTGGAGCACATGACTGTATAGGTTGACCAATCAGTGCCGCTTGCCGATTGAGAATGTTACCAATGGAGTCCTAAGGTGAAAACGAACTCCTTTTGTCTACACAGAAGCGGTTTTTTCGTGCTTATGTAGATAGATTCCAAAACTGCTAGATGGAACGACGATCGGGCTTTACCAATAATCCGAAACATGTCGCCATTATAGTGCCTGATAGCAGAATCGCAGGTTTTAGTTGTAATTTTAGATTTGCAAGACCGAGGTGGCTGTTCTCTTTGGGGATGGGTTTTGTTTCTAATATTAGACGGAACATGTTGTTTTATTCTATCCTTCAATCTTTGGGTAGTGCCTCTTACGTAGCCAGAATCACACTGGCACGTAAATCCATATACAACGGAACTTTTTTGTGTGGCAGGAACGCAATCCTTTTGAATGGACGGAAGGGACTTTTTCGTACAATAAACAACACGTGGGTTGACTGTAAAGAAAAAATTTGCAATGGCCTGTTTTATTCGGCTTTCAAAACGTAGGGAACTGTCACCGATCCAGGGTAGTTTTAGATAGACCGGGCACTTTTGAGGACCAAATTTTACGTCAGCCGAGAAATTTCCTATCTTCTCCTTAATGTAAACTTAAATAACATCCTCTGATCTATTTGTGATAAAACAAGAATATAACTCTCTGGATAGCCGTTCTCCAGAAAGATCTCAGTTAAATTTTTCACTGCGCTACTTAAATTGTCATACAGAAAATTTATTCAGTGGTCTTGCTTCATGCTGTCTATCATATCAACATTGTCTTCAATTAAAAGGCGAGCAATAGCTGGTCTTCACGCATTCTCCGGCAACGATTATGTGTCCATGATTTCCAAAAAAAGGGAAAAAGTCATTCTGAAAAGCAATGTTAAAGCGCAACGAATTCGTGAGCACTTTTGCAAGGCTTGGAACAGATGTCCAGCCCATCCAAATGCTATCGAGGTCCTGGAGAAGTTTACTCGCTTTCTTTGCGGTTTTTCAACAACTGTCACCAAGGCCAATGACGCCCGCTCAAAGAGAGTCTGGAAGATTTTTGAAACTTATGGGAAAGTTTTTGAACTTAGTTTAATGCCACCGTGTGTTGCCAATCTCATTTGCACAAAGCTACATTAGCTTATGTTGCAAACATTTACAGAAATGCAGACCAGTTGCAGTTAAGCATTGGCAGTCCAGTTGATCATAATGGTTGGGATGCAGCCGGTAACGCATCGTGGAGTAAAGACATATACCTTGATAATAATGCCGAGCTGCTTCTAAATATCAATCAAGATGCTGAAGAAGACAATATTGACCCAATGAATGACAATTGCTTTGAGGATGAGTATAGCAATGACTCTAATGACAACGGATACTAGAATGTTTATTCAAAACAACTTTAAATGTTTATTAGCCGTATTATATAGCCTTTTGACATAATCTTTTTTAAGCTTTTAAAGCAATCTATGTGCCCAGCAGATTTTACTCTAGAAATATTGAAAACGATAAATACACGATTTCAGCATGAAAATGGGACCAGTGCATTCTGAATTCCGCCGTATGATATCAATCTTCGAAATCAGTATATCGAAATTGATGAGAATAAAATATTTACAAACTTTTTTTCAACGTTCAAATTTGGACGAAAACGAGGTTTGAACGTGAAATAGAGATTCAGATCTCAAAATACGAGACTCGGAGAATAAACGATCTCCAAATACCTAAACTACAGCTGGAACTTTCGAAGAAAGGTTTTTTTACAGCGTTGCAAAGTCTGGAATGATATCCCAAATGACATAAAATTTTTTGAATCTACTGACCTTTTAAGCACAGAATGAAAATCCTATTTCTTAGGCCAATTAAGTCAAATCTATACAGATTTAAGATATCCCTAATATGACCTCCTGGTAGTCCAGTTTAAGGTTTGTTTCGTTCTGTTTCTTTTTTTGTCTCATGTTAACTAGCTCTATTTATTTTAGTAAATCTGTTACTGAAGGACTATCATGAATAAAATGAATATGAAAAACATTTATAATACCTCAGATAAGTTTCATACAAATTTGCCGTAGAACCTGCCCCCGATTTTGCGTTGTTTAGAAAATACCGCATTGCAAACTTAGCCAAAGGAAACCGTCACATAAAAGGGGTTTGAAATTAACAAAAAAATTTGTCAATAATATCTGGTGTCTAATACAATTAAAATTTTGCATATTTAAGCTCTTTCAAGTCTGACTATCTCATTAAAATCAGCTCAGTTTTAATAAACTATGATGAGCAACGAATGCAGACTCAATTATGATAACGTTCCTGTTTCAGGGCTTTCAGCTTTTCTGGCAATCGTTCTCAAAAGTGAATATCGTCATTCGTTTATCATCCTTGACGTCTTCAACGCTCCTGGGTGGCTCGGAATGTTTATGCAGACTATTTGTTATCCTTCAGTATTGATCTGGTTTAAGGAGTACAACCTACAAAGAGAAAAAGAAAATAAAACAGGTGATTTTTAAATATAATCATATATATTCCTTAACCTGTGCAAAACTTTTCGGTTTTTTGAACTAAACGTAACTTCTGCAACAATTTGATAGAATGTCATATTTTCATCATGACGAATACTGAAATTGATGATATTATTTGTTTACTATGAATATCAAATTAGATATGTTACTTCATTCAACGTCTTTATCCGCTAAATATTCAAAAACTCAAATTTTTGTCATTCATCATTTCAGGTGAATTGCCAAAACCGGACACTTTTGCAATGATTTTGGTCGCAATTTCCTATTTTGTTATCTATGTTGTTTTTTCAGCACTCGAGACGTAAGAAATCATTATCAGTTACTAAGTTTAATGAATAATAATACATTTCTATTGCTCTAACTTACTTTTCTTGGCAATTCTGTAACAACCAACTATCTCACTAGCCGCATTATATTAGATTATGTATAAACAATTTATAGCAATTCCATTATACCTCGGCAAACCTTTAATAGCAAAAGACATGCATGTAACTTTCTGATAACAATTACTTACAGCAAGCACATTCCTTGATAAATATGTGCCTTATAATAGGAGAGAATCCCCTCAAATGCATTGCTTTGGACGTTGAGACTGTTTGCAAAGAAGCTGTTTCCGTTATTTCATAGATTGTATTACTCAAAAATTTCGGGCTGCAGTCATCGTTTCCTGTTACTTACAGTTCTGATTTCTGAAAATGACTTTCTTTTTTCAGTTTTTCTCTGTTCATAACAGTATTTATATCAAAGAAAATTTTTGTAAATCAAACTCCATTAGCTTTTTGGTAAACTTCAGCATTCTTGACGAAAATTCAAATATTTGTTGCTCATATTACCTTTAAGGCTGACCGCTCCACTCATGTTAGATGAATTAGCCTTTACCAAACAAACGGCAGTTTTCAATGCTGGCATCTTGCTGTCTTCTCTTGGACCTATTGCATTTCTATCGCTTGGATTCATTAAGTGCACATCACAAAGGTGATGCTTTGGTTATTATTCAATTACCCAATAGATGCTATAGAAGTCAAAATATACCCTTGCATTCAATTAATCAAGGAAAATAATTTACATTTCAACATGTCCCATATTATGACTTCGGCAAACAGTTTATGACATTCTTTTCATCTTTTATTACTTGTAGCAAACTAAATTAAACCGATTCGCCCAAAAGACGTCTCTAAAGATTCTCCCTATTAAAATATGAATGTTAAAATGCTTTATTAATTCAAACCAACTTTCCTATTCAAGTGATTGAATTTGTTTTTCAAAATGATTTTCTAATTTCTGTTTTGATTAAGAATGGATGAAAGACAAATGGTTTTGGTAGGATGTACAATTGCATTGTTAGGCGTTGTCACGTTTTTACCGTGGGGAAACACATATCCAACTCTTCAAACAAACGGTGAGCTCCAATACGGTTTACTGACATGATATAATAGTAAGATGGTTATAAATTGCTTTTTAATAAATATACGATTTAAGTAAGTATCCTATGCATAAAAAATTCCCAACCTAATTCCAAAATAATCATATGCCGTCTTTTCAATTTTAGAGCTTATCAGAGCTGGTAATCTGACAAAAATTCTTTTGAAAGAAGGATGTCCAGCTAAATACCATTGGTGCAAAAATACACCTAAAATACAATTTTGGCAATTAATTATTGCAGAATTGATAACCATGATTGGCTTCATGCTGACATTACTAATAATATATGGATTGTATTCAAAAGTTATTGGTCCAAGAAAACAGGTACTATCTTTTAACTTCAAAATTTCTTTTTCATTGTGTTTCAATTAGTTTATGGTGAAAATGAGCAGAAAAAGTTTCCTCTGAGCATAATATATTCAATTTTTCAATGACATTCTTCTACAAAATAAAAATCATTAGAGGCATTTTCTGTCTATCGTCTACCTAGACCTTCTTGTTTTGTTTTGCTATGAAACAAAATATCAACATAGGATATTGATATTATTTACTTTTGCCTTTTTAACTTTAAGGACAAACTTTTCAGATATCATTTTTCATTATAGTCTTTTTACAAAAAATCTTAAAGACAATAGAAGACTTCTACAAACAAATGTTGTTTTCCCACAGGGTTTTTATATTGCTGCTATGTCTGCCAATTCGTGTCTATCAGGGATCATATCACCATTGCTACTGGCGTATATTTACGAACATTTGGGACCCAGATATGTATTTATTACGATTGCTTCTATTTTATCACTTTTTATTCTAGTATTCACTTATTTCTATAGCAGACTAGTACCTTTTGAAGAGTACATAAAGAAAAACTAGAGTCTGGAAATTAAACTGTTTGAACTTTTGCTAGATATTTTTGAATGAGAGTTGAACTTCCTATTAAAAAATACCTTTGTTTAAACTTGGGATGACTTGCTATTGTTTGTCTGAATAAGAGACTTTGTGGATACCAAGCTTGATACTTTCTTCTTGATATACGCTAGAATAATTCACAAAACTTTATATTGCGTTCCTTCATTGTTGATGTTTTGGCCGCCAGAGATTCAAACATTAAGTTTTTCTTTAACAGTTATTACAGTAGCAGCAAGATAAAATGTGTCAATTCACTATTCAACCAATGAGTCATTACTATTAGAAAGAAAGTTCTTCCTTATCGATACTGCGAACATTAATTTTCTGGCCATCCTTAGAATGTCATATCTAAGAGTTTTCCTCGCCACAATCCGGGTGGTGGCTTTCACTGATTCCCAGAGTAATATAAACATGTTGACCCATCACCTTCAATGTTCAAAAAAGTTTCCCTCCAGCCACCCTGGCCCTTCCAATGGTATCGTTGTTTTTAGCCCAAGTAGTGAATGCTCAACCAAAGATCGGAGAAACATTAACCTCGTCATGTTCAAATTGCAATGATTACATGACAAGAACAACATGGACATTTCATAGAACCCATCTTGTTGAAGAATTACGACTACATCCCTGGTGTGCCGTCAATGTCAAGTTAGTTAATTCGGGTTCGGTATTGATAGATTGCTTCCAGACATCCAAGCAAAAACTATTTTCAAGAACGGCCAAATAGAATCAAGTTTTTTAATAATAGGCAAATTCAAAATCTCTAGAAGACAAAGATTTTCAAACATTTTTCTGTAAAGTTTCATTTTCCAGCTGTACTTCAATCACCGTTCCTCTTTATTATTTTCCTAAATGGTTAATTATCAGTACAGAAAAATGGAAAACTTTTCTCATTTCCTCGCCTCATTTCTTGGATTTCGAAATTATTGCAAAAGGAATCGCTCGTATAATGTTTGTGGCAAGTTTATTTCTAATATTCTTGTCAGTAATCTCTTGAAATGCGTGATTATATATTTTTGGAATATTTTCTGCAGACATTAATTGTTTATATCAATCAGAACTATCGAAATTAACGATTTTACGACAAATCTAACGAGCTCCACGATTGAATTAAAATTATTGTTTATCTAAAAAAGGACTATCAAATGAATAATTTTACGTCACAATTATCTACTTCCACGGCTTTAATCACTTTATTGTATATACCTATCAGAACAATAAAAATGAATGATTTTACGTCACATTTATCTACTTCCACGGTTTTAATCGATTTATTGTATATACCAATCATCACAATCAAAATGAATGATTTTACGTCACATTTATCTACTTCCGCAGATTTAATGATTTTATTGTAATACCATCAGAACAATCAAAATGAATGATTTTACGTCACATTTGTCTTCTTCCAGCTTTAATGTTTTATTGTATATACCAATCATCACAATCAAAATGAATGATTTTACGTCACATTTATCTACTTCCAAGGCTTTAATCAATTTATTGTATATACCAATCATCACAATCAAAATGAATGATTTTACGTCACATTTATCTACTTCCGCGACTTTAATCAATTTATTGTATATACCAATCATCACAATCAAAATGAATGATTTTACGTCACATTTATCACTTCCACGGCTTTAATCAATTTATTGTATATACCAATCATCACAATCAAAATGAATGATTTTACGTCACATTTATCTACTTCTGCAAGGCTTTAATCAATTTATTGTATATACCAATCATCACAATCAAAATGAATGTCACATTTATCTACTTCCGCGCTTTAATGATTTTATTGTATATACCGTCACAATCAAAATGAATGATTTTACGTCACATTATCTACTTCCGCAGGCTTTAATCAATTTATTGTATATACCAATCATCACAATCAAAATGAATGATTTTACGTCACATTTATCTACTTCCACGGCTTTAATCAATTTATTGTATATACCAATCATCACAATCAAAATAATGATTTTACGTCACATTTATCTACTTCCACGACTTTAATCAATTTATTGTATATACCAATCATCACAATCAAAATGAATGATTTTACGTCACATTTATCTACTTCCGCGGCTTTAATCGATTTTATTGTATATACCAATCATCACAATCAAAATGAATGATTTTACGTCACATTATCTACTTCTGCAGGCTTTAATCAATTTATTGTATATACCAATCATCACAATCAAAATGAATGATTTTACGTCACATTTATCTACTTCTGCAGCTTTAATCAATTTATTGTATATACCAATCATCACAATCAAAATGAATGATTTTACGTCACATTTATCTACTTCCACGGCTTTAATCAATTTATTGTATATACCAATCATCACAATCAAAAGGAATGATTTTACGTCACATTTATCTAACTTCCAAGGCTTTAATCAATTTATTGTATATACCAATCATCACAATCAAAATGAATGATTTTACGTCACATTTATCTACTTCGCAGGCTTTAATCAATTTATTGTATATACCAATCATCACAATCAAAATGAATGATTTTACGTCACATTTATCTACTTCAACGGCTTTAATCAATTTATTGTATATACCAATCACCACAATCAAAATGAATGATTTTACGTCACATTTATCTACTTCCAGGCTTTAATGATTTTATTGTATATACCGATCATCACAATCAAAATGAATGATTTTACGTCACATTTATCTACTTCAACGGCTTTAATCAATTTATTGTATATACCAATCACCACAATCAAAAGGAATGATTTTACGTCACATTTATCTACTTCCACGGCTTTAATCAATTTATTGTATATACCGATCAGAACAATCAAAATGAATGATTTTACGTCACATTTATCTACTTCCGCAGCTTTAATGATTTTATTGTATATACCAATCATCACAATCAAAATGAATGATTTTACGTCACATTTATCTACCTCAAGGCTTTAATCAATTTATTGTATATACCATCAGAACAATCAAAATGAATGATTTTACGTCAATTCATCTACTTCCAGCTTTAATGATTTTATTGTATATACCGATCATCACAATCAAAATGAATGATTTTACGTCACATTTATCTACTTCAACGGCTTTAATCAATTTATTGTATATACCAATCAGAACAATGAAAATTAATGATTTTACGTCACATTTATCTACTTCCACGGCTTTAATCAATTTATTGTATATACCAATCATCACAATGAAAATGAATGATTTTACGTCACATTTATCTACTTCCGCGGCTTTAATCAATTTATTGTATATACCAATCAGAACAATCAAAATGAATGATTTTACGTCACATTTATCTACTTCCACGGCTTTAATCAATTTATTGTATATACCAATCAGAACAATCAAAATGAATGATTTTACGTCACATTTATCTAACTTCAACGGCTTTAATCAATTTATTGTATATACCAATCATCACAATCAAAATGAATGATTTCACGTCACATTTATCTACTTCCGCAAGGCTTTAATGATTTTATTGTATATACCGATCATCACAGTGAAAATGAATGATTTTACGTCACATTTATCTACTTCCATAGATTTAATGAATTTATTGTATATACGGATCATCACAGTGAAAATGAATGATTTTACGTCACATTTATCTACTTCCGCGGCTTTAATCAATTTATTGTATATACCGATCATACAATGAAAATTAATAATTTTACGTCACATTCATCAACTTCCAAGGCTTTAATCAATTTATTGTATAACCAATCATCACAATCAAAATGAATGATTTTACGTCACATTTATCTACTTCCGGCTTTAATCAATTTATTGTATATACCATCAGAACAATCAAAATGAATGATTTTACGTCACATTTATCTACTTCTACGGCTTTAATCAATTTATTGTATAAACCAATCATCACAGTCAAAATGAATGATTTAACGTCACATTTATCTACTTCCGCATCTTTAATCGATTTATTGTATATACCAATCATCACAATCAAAATGAATTATTTTACGTCACATTTATCTACTTCCGCAGCTTTAATGATTTTATTGTATATACCGATCAGAACAATCAAAATGAATGATTTTACGTCACATTTATCTACTTCCGCAGCTTTAATGATTTTATTGTATATACCAATCAGAACAATCAAAATGAATGATTTTACGTCACATTTATCTACTTCCACGGCTTTAATCAATTTATTGTATATACCAATCAGAACAATCAAAATGAATGATTTTACGTCACATTTATCTACTTCCACGGCTTTAATCAATTTATTGTATATACCAATCAGAACAATCAAAATGAATGATTTTACGTCACATTTGTCTACTTCCGCAGCTTTAATGATTTTATTGTATATACCGATCAGAACAATCAAAATGAATGATTTTACGTCACATTCATCTACTTCTGCAGCTTTAATGATTTTATTGTATATACCGATCAGAACAATCAAAATGAATGATTTTACGTCACATTTATCTACTTCTGCAGCTTTAATGATTTTATTGTATATACCGATCAGAACAATCAAAATGAATGATTTCACGTCACATTTATCTACTTCAACGGCTTTAATCAATTTATTGTATATACCGATCAGAACAATCAAAAGGAATGATTTTACGTCACATTTATCTAATTCTACGGCTTTAATCAATTTATTGTATAAACCAATCATCACAATCAAAATGAATGATTTCACGTCACATTTATCCACATTCGCAGCTTTAATGATTTTATTGTATATACCGATCAGAACAATCAAAATGAATGATTTAACGTCACATTTATCTACTTCAACGGCTTAATCAATTTATTGTAAATACCAATCAGAACAATCAAAATGAATGATTTAACGTCACATTTATCTACTTCCGAGGCTTTAATCAATTTATTGTATATACCAATCATCACAATCAAAATGAATG